AATAGGACTATATTATTAAACAAATTATCTATATAGACGTAGAAGAAGTATATCTAGAAAGGGAGTTATAATAAGAGTTAAAGGATAGCGACCCTTAGCAGACTTAGCTATACGCTAAGATCGAGTCTATAGGCGTAGTTAGTCGGTTATATACTACTAGGCTCGCTTACGGCGCTTTCCGTATTATTAGCGCCTCTCGAGGTAGGTACGTAGAAGTCGACCTTTATTTTATTAACCTCGTAGACACTACTTAATTTATTATAACTACTATCCCTAGCAAGCTTGTTAAGCCTGTCTCGACGCCTCTTATTACTCTCCTTCGCGCGCTCGGCGATTTTAGCGATTGTAGGCTCTTCGTAGACGACAATATGCCTCTCGAGAACCCTAGTTACTTCAACTTACGAATTCGTCTGTTTCGGCTTCCTAAGAGTGTTGCTTTCGAGGGCTCGAGAATAAGAAGAAATATAGGTATCTACCCTCGTATAGGCAAAGGACATAGTATCTAATTAGTATAGGCTTGCCTCGCATTATTATAATATAGCTAGATCGTCCTATAAAGCGGATTATAGACTCGTCGATCGATAAGTTAGTACTAGGTATAACGACAGTCTTAAACCTCTCTTATAACAGGTCTGCTAATAGCAAGATCTACGCCTACGTAGGCAAACTAGACCCTCTTAGAATAGGACTTCTATACTATAGAGCGGCCTTAATTTGTCGAAAGCGCTACTTACTTATATATTTAGCGATTAAATAGACAGGCTAGTATTTGTCGTCTCTCTAGTAGTCCGATTTATCGTTTATTTAGATTGCGGATATATAGACGATTAGGGCTACGAAGATTATTATATCTTTACGCCCTACTAGTTTCTATAGATGTCCGGATACAAAGATCTACGGTTGCCCTTTACTATCGATCCGTAGATTTCTAAATAAGTCTAGTTTAAACTCTTCTCGAGTCTCTATATACTTATTAGTATACTTAACTAGCCGGTCTATAACCTCGTCGGTCTATAACCTCGTCGGTCTATAATAAGTAGAAGAACTTATACTATACGTTATTAACCTTTAACAAGTCGCCTTATAGGTATAAAGGCAAATTTAACTTCCGCTTGTACTTAGTCCCCTATAGTAGTTTAAAGGGCATCTTATTCTTATCGTCTTCCGCTAGATAATATAGGCCGCCTACCCTATTATTAACGCTAATAGCCTTAATATCGGCCTTATTTCTAGCAATATATAGCTCCTAATCTAACCCTCGAGGCGCCGTAATAGACACCGGTTTAATAACTAGATCCGCTATCGACGAGTATAGGTACTTATTATACTTAATTAGATTAGTAAAGGCCTTATCTACCTACTATAACTACCCTTCGTTATCTTCTTTATCGGCTTCTTCTATATTAGCGATAGTCGCTATAAAGCGGTCTATTTGCTAGTGCTAAATAAGCGTGTTTAACTTTACGGTTTAAACCTTTAGGAGTTAGAATCCTACCTCCGAAGGCGGCGGCACTAGAAGAGGCATAGTTATATGCTAAACGAGTCTAATAGACCCCTTGTTATTTACCTGCAAGGCGCTACACTAATTGCTAAGTATATAGATACTACAGGGTAGAATGCCTATTTAGCCGACGAACGCTCCGAGCGGACGAGTTTTACAAAGGGATACCTGTGCCTCCGTATCTAACTCAGTGGCCTATCCCCTGTAATAACTCGTCCGCTCGGAGCGTTCGTCGGCTACTATCGCTTGTCCGCTCCGGACGCTACCCTCGGTACATTGGACAGAGGGATCTGCATTGTTTTCCATCACATGGAGTGGCTCGTAGCGGTTCCCGCGACACAGTCAGCACTCAGCACGAAATGAAATGACTTCTCAAGACACATCTGTGCCGCTTCCCGCTGCAAAGATCAATTGCCTGCTCACCTCCAATCGCTAGAATATTTTTTGCCCTTCCGCGAGCCTGTTTCTGCATCGCCTGGTACACAACGATTATCAAGTGCAACGGCGCGGCCATGAAAACGACAACCAAGCCACTCTAGGGACCTATCTGTGGTAACTCACAAAGCGAGTCAGATATCTTATCTTTGGCAACCGGGTCCTTGTTGAACCCTTTCCACACGTGTCATGGATGCTGCACTCCGGCGAAACGTGAACTGCCTCGTCTGACAACACTTCAAATTACACGTAGCAAGCTCATCCTACCACCCACTCTCACTCGCTTCTCACTACTGGCCACGTACATGCATCTTGCAACCGTCAATCTCCCATGCCAGTCACCAAGGACTTTGACAAATCATCACGAGTCGACTTCTCCGGCTGACGACGCGGCAATGGATACAACTCCTCAGATGTGCTGCAAGGATGGCTACAGTAAGATGAGCTTCCAATTTCGCCCCTTTCCTTGTTGGGGGGGGAGGGCACGTATGGTTGTTTTGCTAGTCCTATACATCGCTGTGGGGTATCTCCTCTTTAGCGCCCGTCTACCCAGGTTCATCCAATATCACGGTGCTGAAGTGCAGGTGCAGTACGTATAGAGTACTTCTCGAATCGACTGGCCCTTTATCTGCATGCCTGCCCTTGTACCCCTCCCCGCTTGTGGCGATAAGGCTGAACGGTGAGCAAGCAAGCTTGGCATGACAAAGGAAGGGGATCTCGACCGGTGCATCCGATGCTTCATGAATCATGCCTTCCAGTGTGACGACCGGCCGACGACCTCTGAGCGTATGCCGTCGCTTGCGAGCGTGGGCGGAGTTCGCATCAGGCACGGTCGAATAGCGCGAGCGATGATCGTGAAGCACGGTGCAAGCGACGATCCTGCAGAAGAACAGCGGGCGAGCATCATCCTTGCTCATGTCTGCAAGGTATTAATACCAGGTACGCTGCAGCTAGTGATGGAGCTACACATACATGTGTATGGGTACACGCTCTGTAATACACTATGTACGCAGGGGCGGAAAATTTAGCTGGTGTGTACATACAATGAGGAGTTATCGGATACGCTGATATCCTGCCTGCAGCCGGCTAGGCTACTCGATAATCCTCAGATATCCTAGTATCCGGGTGGGGCCGACATATGTATACTGGTGTCCACCAGTGTATTATACAGTGTACAGAGCCTGCATTTACAGAAAGCTGTATTCCAACATCCCTAGCTGCAGCAGACTCGATAGCGCGATGCTTCCTGAGTTCTGAGTCCTGACAGCTCGGTTCCTCTGCCGAAACCTCGCTCGACCCAAAATGGCGAGCTCCTAACCCACAATCGCTGTATGCATTTGTTGCCTAGGAACATGTAGCATTGTAGCTACGTCTAGGCTCATCTACCTCGATAACGTTGTTCGAACTGGACGCCAAACCAGATGTCGAACCTTGAGCCTGATAGCGGGGCATAATTGTCGTTCTTTCCCATGCATTCTATTCTATCGAATGCTCTTTCGCCGAAGCCAAGAGGCCTGATTGGACTCAAATGGCATTTTTCTTGCCTCCATGAGAGCTCGGCACTGGCTTGCTTACGAGTCTCAGGACACTTATCGGTACCTAGTAAGCAATCTACATACAACACAGATCGACAGGTACGCCAAAGCTTCTTACAAGAAAGCTCAATTGACTTCACCTCTTCTGCCGTGCTCTTCTCGCTCACTACTTGAATTTTCAGGGGTCACAGCGACTCTATCATCGATGAAGAACAGGGCCGGCAATCGAAAAGCACAAATGCTATGGAGCAGCCTCACATTTCTCAAGCAAGGACCACTGTACATACAGACAATCTGTCAGAATCGGAACATGGTTGATCGTTCTGCCGATCGTTCTTGACGTCGATCGCCGCCACACAAGGTTTTTCGACAAGAACATGGGTTTACTAATCGCATCGCATCGCATCGCATCGCATCACAGACTACAATCTCGATATTATTTGAATTCTTCCATCTCGATTCCCGTCATGCGGGCGTGAGTTTCAATGACGTCCGTCTATCCGCGATCGCCGACTCGCCGCCAAGCAAGTACTCTCGTCCAGGTACTAGACGAGTGAAGCCGATGTCGAAATTCCCGCGTTTCTTGCCACGATAGAAGACAAGATCCATCGATTCTCCGTCGAGTTAATGCCGTCTGATAGACGACCTGCCAGGCCGGGGATCTGGAGCGCTTTCATCGGCGATTGTCCCGACTCGCTGAACCTTTCCCAGAAGAAGACTTGCTGTGAAACCTGTGAGCTCGCTCCTGATGGGTAAAATGCTATCATCCTGCTGCGAGAACTCTTCCTCGAGAGAAGTCTCAAATCGTTTCTCTAAAGCATCGCCATGAGAGCGCGCCCTAGCAAGCGATCTGAGAGCTTTATGCCAGTGATGCCAACGAGACTGTCGATCATCAATCGGCAGGCGACACAAGGACTGGATTCCATGTCAACGACCACTTACTTGCAAGGAGTGTAGATCCAATTGGGCTCGCATGGGAACAAGCAGTATGGATTTTGTACCCAATTGTTGTTGACCGCTCCGGCGATCGATCCCAGATCGTACGGATAGATATGTTTTGGCGACACTTCCAATCTCAACGCGCCAGGTTTGGAGTATCGTCGATCGCCAGTGTTGCTTTGATAAATACCTGGAACTGTCAGCTGCATCTCTCAGGAACCCACCATGGTGGCAGTTCCTCCTCCATACCAACAGCGGTCAGCAGGTAGCCAGAGACCATGATGTTGTCCTCCTTCACTGGATCCCAGTCCCTCAGCTTGAACAACACTCGCCGCAAATACTTCTACCCGATTACCGTGCGATGCGGCGGCCTACCTATGTCAGCAATTCATGACAAGGCGAGCAACTTCCAATAATACGATCAATCCATGTGCAAAGTGATAGATCCGTACAATGGCATGCTGTATCTTCACAGCATACTGCATGAATCGTCTTGTCAAAGCTTGCGAACTTCTCGACCTACAATTCCTCAAAGTCCAGTACAACGAATTCGATGATGACCCCAGCGATTGCTTACCAGAAGCAGAGGACCGTCTTGTGGCATCGAGATTCGTCCTCGAGGGCTTGACATGTGCAGCCTGCGTAAGCGCTGTGCAACGCGCGGTCAGTGCACTTGATGGCGTACTCAGCAAAGTACGGTGTACGTGTGATTTGATGGGGAAATTGTTGGAAGCCTTCGTCTCCAGGACACCATTCGACCCGAAGCGCCAGCAGTCATGTGCAGCTTGAGAGATGGGTGGAAGATCTCTCGCCAGGACGGTCGCTGGCTCACTCACCCGCCGCCTCCACAAATTGGCAGACCTCGAATGTCATCGTCACGTCTCCAAATCTTGCACGAGTACCAGAAGTGCTAGACATCGCAAGGTTGACTGCGCGTCAAGCTAGATGGAATGCATGGTGGGCCATCGCGTACAATCTTTTTGCTGTGTCGCTCGCTCTCGGCGTCGCAGAGCACTGGGGATTGCAGGTCGATGCTGCCATGGCTGGCTGGAACTATGATGTCGGCTTCGAGCGTGAGTGCGATGCTGTCGAGCCTGTGGGTACGCCGGAGACTGCGACGTGTCGACTTCCATGTCCATGTCCATGCCCGAGGAGATGAAGTCATGGAGGAGAGCGCGATAGACCATCCTTGAAGTCTGCTAATGCCAAGAAGTCGCTCCGGCGACTGGGCACAGAAAATGCACCGGTTCAGACATCTGCTATGCTTCACACACTACTGAGCATCAAGCTCAAGCTCATGCTCTTCGCCATGCTGCGCGAATAGGGTATCTTGTCATCTCATCATCAACACAAACGCTCGCGCATGCTGTACATTACCAAACCAACCCTGTTCAAACGCCCTTTATCCAAATCAAGATGTCTGCCACTCCGTGCTATGTCGTGGTCTACCAGAGCCCAAACAAGCCCTTCTTCTGTCCAGCCGGACTCCCATCTTGCAACGAAAAGGTGTTCATGAATCTATCCTCAAAGCCCAACTCCTTCTTATCACTCGGAAGTACCCAAGTGCTCTTCTTGAGTTCAAAGTTGCTGCCCTTCTCTGGAAACTGTACGGCCTTTACGCCTCTACGCATCTGCGCCATGAAGTCTTTCTGCTGACTGAGCGGCACTTTCTCTGGCTCCGTCGGTCTCAGCACTGGGTTGCGAAGTCGTCTCTCCATGCTCATCGGTGCCGGTGGCAAGCTACCGTAGAATGGTGACTTTCGCTCTGGTAAATGCTGCAATTTCTGTTGTTCTTCTTGCTGTCGACGCTCTTCTGCGGCGCGCATCTGGTATTCTACACCTGATAAGCCGTCCCTGACATCTCCAAAGCCGAGCGGCGGTGCATTCGAATGATTCACATAGGTATGCGTTGGCTCCAAGCGTGGTCGCTGCTGCATGTTCAGGCGCTGCGACGAGCGCATGACTGGTCGATAGTCTGTCTCCATAGCGTCTTCGTCGCCAAATTCAGAATCTTCTGGCGATGGTGGAGGCTTATAGAGGCCGACACTGGGTCGCAGTATTGGCTGCTTTTCTTTCGGTGCCAGAAGACTATCCCAGGACGGCTGCTCTTCTCTTCGAAGATATTTCCAAGGATCATTTGACGACGGTTTCGATGTGAAGTGTGGCTCTGGCTCAGCCGCTGTTTCCGTGAGAATGTCTTGTTCCTCAGGCTTGGGCATCATCTTGCCCTTCATCGTCCAATTCTGCAGTACAATGCTTCTGTTCGCGATGGCCTGTGTCATGAGCATGAAAAGGATGGCGAAGCCGTGTATAGCAACGACATGTTCTTTATCAAGCTTCGCTATTTGCGTGGTGTCCGAAACAGTGTACCACGCCATGCTCCGAATTGCAAGGATGATTACTTGCATATAGAAGTAGTTGTTCTGCCCATGGACAGCTTCAATGCGGCGCGTGTGATGATACCAAGCCTTGATTCCTGGATTGAACCAAAGGAAGATTGCCGCCAGTGCGAAGGTGCGTGGAATGAAGGCGCTGAACAGATTATAGCATGGAATGTCGAACGTAAATCGTGTTACCCGTTTCGCGCATTGCATGATTGTTGGCGCAAAGTATTCCTCGCTCTCCTCGATAGTATCAGGCTCCTCCGGGAGTGCGGCAGACGAGAGACACGTCGAGAGGATGGCGTACAAATGGAAGCCGACTTGTGCAAGCAGGCCCAGGTAGAGCACAAAGCCAATGAGCCGCAGCACATTGCGCATGATCTTCTTCCAGGCATCGTCGCGAGTGCGATATGCTGCCCTTCCGCCTCGAGCTTTGGTTGCTGCGCCCAGCCTCGCAGCATTCTGAGTTATGCCAAAGTAGTCTGCCTTGTTTATCCTGCCCTGCACCATCGGCGCACATCGCTTGCAGACCAGCGGATAGCGCTTTTCCAGCTCTTTCTTGTACTCTGAAAGAGCTCGTTCCTTTGCAGCATAGCTAGGATGACTCTCATCGGGCAGGTATTCCGCCAGTATTGAGTTGTAAAGGTGCTGGTTCTGCGTGCATGTGCTACAGAATGATGGCTGATTCTGGCTGGTGCTGGCGCTACGCTGCGAACGTGTCAAGGAGAGGAGTGATTCCTGCTGTTGAGGATCGAGGGTATTCGCGGCGACATTTGCAGGAGTATCGACAATGTTTCCTTTGCCGTCGAGGAAATTGATGGCCTCGCAGGTATTGCACTGGAACTTGGTGACAGACTTGCTATACGGCTGTCTGGTGCCACAAAAGTGACACCGCACGCGCCAAAACATATCGGAAGTACGCAGTCCCTTGGTTTAGCACTCGAGTCGATCTCTAGGTGATGTTACTGTACGCTTAGAAGTCTGCATTTAAGGAAGTTGGGCTGAGCTGAAGTGTCACATGTTTCTGCATCAACAAAGAACGGAAATAACCGCCGGAGATTACTGATGCCAAGCCTTAAGGGTTAGCACATTCACTTTGCATTGTCGGGTCTTCACTTCCTCCAACACACGACACCTGTTTCTCCCCATGCGCATTTCCCTTGGCAGCCAAGTGTTACGAGGAAGTGTAGAAAGAGACGGGAGCAGTAACTGCACATGCTTCAAGCTTCTTCAGGATCAGCTCGGTACATTGGTCCTTCTGGAGCCAGCTGCTGCGATGATCTGTTCAGGTCTCTTCGTACGTATGCGAGCCTATGCAGGTAGACAATTTCGTCGCAGATCAATCAGAGTCCAAGCATCATTTTGCTTCGAGACAAAGTTCGAAAGGTTCGTGTCAGTCTCGGCAATGCTGTCACATCAATACCAATCTAGGATTTTTCAGTACCCGAGCGCTGGTCCTCAAAAATCCCTGGCCTTTCTTCAAGCATGGGCCATAATTCAAAAGCAGCGTCAACGGTGTGTGGTTAAAGCCACGATTGATAACAGCAGTCTCCACGAGAATGCACCAGATGCCATCTCCAGCCTTCGATCATCGTAGAAAGTTGAAGTTGTTGCAAGGGTCTTAGAAATTGTCAAATCATTTTGCTAGAACAAACTTCTCGAAATCGACATTCCGCCAGAGTGGGCGCCAGAGGAACTTGGAGGAAGGACAAACACCTAAACGCAATACTCCTGCGGGCTCGAGAGTCTTTTCTCATACCACATCCGGCCTCGCACACAGTCCTCGAGGGATTGACAACATCAAATGGCCTCTATCAGTGCCAGTTCAAGACGCGAGCGTATGGTCAGGCATGTCGCGGAGAGAAAGGAAAGAATTGAACGCCGAGATTGAAGGAACACACTCAGGCCCTTCCCATCGGACTCACTTTGAAGGTCCCCGTAGACGATGGTGACGCGTAAGAGTATCTGAATAGACAGAACTCCGAGAAGCAGCGAAAGAGCGATAAGAAAGGCAAGACCTGATACTTCAAGCAACCTCAGTCCGGTACTTCCCAAGCAAAAGCAGGCACAAGAGCGGAAGGCTACATGGAACAGGCCGTCCGCCTCGGACCATGGTCTGGTCACTGTCTTGCTCCCCTTCACTCGGCGCTGCTACATCGAGCTGAGTCGCGAGCTGCAGAGTCAGACTCAGAGGCTGTCTTAGAGCTTGGCCGAACATGCAGGTAGAGTCGCCCAAAAGCACACATCTCAACTCTAGGCTGATCTCTCCTACACATTATTTATTGGAGACCAACGGCCTGCATTTCTAACCCACAGCCTACATCAAACCTCCAAGCAAAATGTACATGTACCTCCCAAGACAACGAAGAAGGGTGCACTTCAGGAACAACACCATGCCCCGAACCAGAATGCCATCTATGACCAAACATTGCGCGTCAATGATCTCGAAATTGATTGCAGCACCGACAGTCTCTGACCGCAGCACTCTGCGCCGTAATCGCCAGAAGGGCTTGCCAGAGTCCAAGCCAAGTATCAGAAGTCCTCAGCAGCATGGTCAAGACTCCACGAATCGCCAGCCGCCAGTACTTCGCAAAAAGAAGACTGCGAAGGCACTCAAGAAAGAGTACAAAATTGCTTCTGCGTCAGCTCGAGCTCAGCTCGCTCTGGCAATCGTCAGCATGAATCTCCCTATCTTCGAGGAGCTCGAGCTCACGCCACGTGGGGAGAGAAAGCGGAAGAGGCTTTACAGAGCAATAATCCGAGACAAGAATCGCGACCTCCAGGACTTTCTCGAAGCGAAGAAAGCCAAGAAACGCAAGAGTACAAAGCTTCGTGCGGCGAGACTGGCCAAATGGGACTTGCAGGATCGTTTCTATGTGAGTGAGACGGACTTCGATGACGGAGCTTCGGAAGCTAGCGATGAATCGTGGTCTTCCCTAGGCTCATTTGATGATGATGGTGACGATTATGGAGATGATTATGATGATGATGACGGCTATGATAGCGGCATGAGTGGCGGGCTGGGAGATATGGATAGTCTTCAGGGCAGTGACGACCTGTCAGATCCTGATACCGACACAGATGGCGGGATTGGAGAGGCAGACGGTGCTCAGGACACTGACAATCTGACGGATCCTGACACTGATGTTGTGCATAGCACCTCTATCGAGTGGCAGAACTGGTTGTACGTTACCATGGAGAGCTTCGTGTTGAGGTTCCTGCCCTCTCATTCTGGCCTGACTTGAGTGGGACCAGTGATGGTTAGTGCGCGACTGGCAGAATATCGATGATCCAATTTGCTCCTGGCATATCAAGTCGTGATTGCTTTTCTTTGATTCACTCTCGTCTTTAGGGCTTTGTAGAGAATCCTTCTTCGGAGTGAACCCCTGATCTGAAACGTAAGCAAGCCATCTTTGACTTGGTTTTTTTCCACTGGTCGATTCGCTCACTGAGACGATACGACTGTAAGCTCATGTCAAAGCCTGATCCTGTTGATGACACTCCAAGCTGACGGAATATGGTCGTCTTTCGTGCCCGCCATTGGTCACTGCTGACATAGCAGCTTCCGTAAGAAGGATCATCTCAGGCGTACCCCACAAAATGGACTGAAGTCTGAGGAGACGACTTCTAGACTGAGACGCAAAGTTTCGGCACGATATCGAAATGTCGAAAGTCACGACATGTTCAGCTCGCAATGACCCAGCGTCCTTTCAACTCCATTTCCAAGGTGCAAAAGTGCGCGAGCACCCTTTCGCAGGTCGCATTGGAGGCAATCAAGAGCTCTGCCTCGATCCAGATGACGAGGCTGTGAAGAAACAGCCAGATGCCGCACCGATAATCTCCTTGTCCCAATCTCTGGACCCGCCGGGATTCTTGGTCTTTGAGTACTACAAGATGGGATTGATCGAAGGGCCTGGGACCTGTCTGCTCGTCTTCGTATCTGGTGCTGGCGCCAATGCTCTTACTACATTAGGAGATTCCGTCTCGCCGATGGCTATAGCATTATATGCTGCTCTCATGAACTGGGTTGCACTGACATTGTTCGTGTACACCACCGCACCTGCCTCCGGCGGACACCTCAATCCCTCGATCACCTTGGGAACACTGTTTGCAGGATTGTCGAGCTTGCCAAGGAGTTTAATTTACGTTGTGTCGCAGAGTGTTGGTGCCATAGTAGGAGGATTCTGGTTAAGGCTTGGGCTGGGGAAGAGCGGGTATTTCCCTTCTGGCGTTGTGCCTGGTTGTACGGTCGATCAGCAGCTTGTTTCGAGAGGTCAGCTCTTCGTGCTTGAATATGTCTTCGCACTGGCGCAGCTCTTTCTGGCCTTTGGGGTCGGCCTTGGACCCAGAAATGCGAAGACGTATGGTCCGGCATTTGCGCCTGTGCTTGTCGGCCTCACGCTTGCACTGGGAACTTTGGCAAGTGCTTTTGTGAAAGAAGGATATTCTGGGATCTGTAAGCATCATTCCCGACTCGTCTGTCTCACCTGTCAAAAAGCTGATCGTGGTACACCGGCTTCAACTCGGCTAGATGCCTTGGCTTGATGGCTGCTAGAGGAGACATGCAGTACAACTACCTTCATTGGTTCGCCACATTGGCAGCCTGTATGGTGCACGGCGTGTTCTACCATACTGTGCCGCCATACAAGAAGAGCAGCGGTAAAGCTCGACGTGAAGCACTGCCATGTGTTGAACGACATGCCAGCAGCCCAAAGCATTCAGCATCATGCAGGTGAAAAAAGCAAGATTTGGTCCGAGTGTCATTCTGGGGCGTGATGGTGAGAATGGCAGGGCCTTGAAACATGACCAGGGTGCTCGCTGCTCAAAGTATGAAATCTAAGACAAGTGAGTGAGCAGTAGGAGTCCTGATTGTATGGACGAGGATCTGATCGTAGAAATCTGGGAAGCTTCTCTAGACATGACCGTGAGCTGCTTGCGCTGCACATTTACTTCAATGGTTCTCTGACGGCACTCTTGAAGGGCATAATCTGAACCTGCTTGCACGTCAGTTGTACTTGCTTGACAAGACTCGAGCGACGATCGACTCACCTTCTCTGCGTCCCAGACACCCTCCTTGTAGTATATATCTTCCTTGATGGCCCTCTCCACCTCTTCTCTTGTGTCTGCTTCAACCATCATTATAGACCCATTGATCTTCAGACCTTCGCCTTCTTTTATGGGTTCATCTAGCGTAGCGCCGCCCATGACGACAAGACCCGAGGCGACTTTGGGCTTGACACCTTCGAGATGCTGTCTGCGCGAGACTGTCAGCCGGCTGCCATCCTCTGCCCTGCTTGATCACATACGGCCTAACTTTCATTCTCGCGTCAAGCTTGCCGGCGCCGTCGGGCAGGATACAGATCCACTCTTGCTTGCCCATGGTTGCGGTTGTTGCTGTGAAGGACCTCTTGGATAATGCTGCTGATCTGGTCGCGACAAGTCGTCTTATGGAGGATCGCAATATGGCAGGCGGCGGCATTGAGAATCCGTAAGTAGCCTACGGGAGAGCATTGCCCGGGAAAACTCGCTATAGCCGCGCCCTTCTAAGCACAAGAGACGCGTTGTCGGCGAGGTGGAGCTCAATGGCGGGGCGGGGCGGGGCGGGGCGGGGCGGATGAATGCGGAAAAGGAGCTTGCTCTTCATCCTTCACCACGACAACTGATTTGAACGAACCTCAGCAAAATCCACGCATTCTTCCAACTTCAAATACTTCTGGGAAGCAGCGCTGCTAAACAGCGACGGCGAGGGCTAGGCTGGCACATTTGCCCGACCAGACTGCTGACTTCGTCTTGGCTGCAACGAGGCCACAAGTAGTAGTCCTACTGCGCAGATATCCCACCAGAGTCGACCATATGCTCTCGCCCTGAGTCGTCTCCCATAATACCACAGAAATAACGGCGCAGGCACTCCAATGGCGAGCCCAATGCAAGCAATGGTGGTGTTGCCCCAACCGTACCCAAGAACTTCATACATCTTCGGCGCAAAGAGCGGAAATGCGAACGCTGTTACACTCCTCACAAATTGGCTCGCAGCAGTCGCAGAGCTGGCGTATTCCGGGTACGAGTCGATGATATAAGCTTGCATTGGCTGTCCAGCAATCTGTCCTCCGAACGCGAACAGCACTCCTCCCAGATCAACAACCGCCCAATGAGCACGAGCTTGAGCTGCCCAGCCATAGCAAAGGAGTCCAATAGGACCAAGTAGAGCACCTGGAACCATCATTGGTACGTGCCACTCAGGCCTCTCTTCGCCATTAGCGCGGTCTCTGAGATACTTAAAAGTGCCATCCATGCTCGGGCCAGTCACTTGTGAGCCCAAGATTTCTCCAAGTGCAAGCGCGATATAGTGAAGGCCGGAAATGTCGATGCGCTCATGGTATTGCTTGACCCAGAGATCCGAGAATGTTGAGAGGACGATGTAAAGAATGCCATATTGAAAGGCTGACAGGAAGGCGAGGTACTGGATGATGGGATGGAATGCCAGAAGACGCAGCGGTCTCGCTAGGCTTCTTCCGACAATGCGTGAGATGGGTAGTGGACGTCCACCTTCGAGTCGCTCAGCTGCAGTGACGTATCGCTGGTCGCCAGTCTCTTTGCGAAGCTTCGCTGCCTTACGCTTGAGGATGAGTGGTGCGTATGTTTCGTGAAATGCCATAAAAGATGCCACGATCATGACAGCTTGGAAGATTGACGTCGACCAGAACATCCAGCGCCAAGTGGTCCGTTCAGCCATGAAGCCACCAATGATCGGCCCTGCTCGAGATCAGCACGATAAGCTTCCAGTGTGATACTTCACTTACCAACTGCGGCTCCAAGTAACGGAATCAAGATGTAGATGGACAGAGATTTCCCCCTCTCCTCCGGCTTCCATACATCGCCAAGCACACCACCCGCGAGAGCATAGATCGCACTGGCCCCAAAGCCAGCCAGGAACCTCGCAGCAATCAGCGTTCCTTTCGTCTTCGCAAACCCACAGACAACGTTCCAAATCAGGAACCAAATATTGCTTGCATGCAAAATCGGCTTCCTGCCCCAGACTTCACTCAGAGGTCCAATGACCAGTGGGCCGAACGCTGTAGCAAGCAAGTAGATACTTAAAGCCATGACTGACTCAGCAGAGGACATGTGGAGCTCGGCGGCGATCGTCGTAATAGCAGGAGCCATAATCGTCGAGACCATGATACGGTTGAATCCTGTTGCTGACAGGACGTCTGTTACCGTCCATTTCTTGACTCTGTCCCAGTCTTTGGGGCTGCGAAATACGATGGAGGTGTCAGCGAAGATGGGAGCAAATGGATTGGAAGGAGAACGCACTTGGTTGGATCGAAGGGACTTTCGAAGGCGACGAGGTATGGGTCGTCGAGTTTGGTGGCATTTTGAGCATTGGCGCTATCGGAGAGCTCGATGTCTTCTTGCGTGTTGCCCATGGCATTGCTGACCGATGCCGGTTCTGGTTCTGCAGAAATGTTATGAGTAGTTGAAGTCATGCTTCCGGGCTTACGGAGAGGTATGTAGTGGATGGAGATGAGGCTTTTGGCACGCGAGCAAATTCATCTACTTATCTGATCAAAATAGCTTATCAGATCATGCAAGCTTTAGGCGGCATATGCAGCTCACTTCTAAGCTCAATGTCACTATTCAGGATCGTACGACAAGATCATGCGTCTTATTGGCTCGCAGCCTGCTACACAATGTTTTGGGATCCTATTTCGGCATCCTACGCGGAATGTGTGCCGTGAAGTGGTACGTTGGTATGTCAGCACTGCGATTACTGCGCAAATGAGCAATCGGAATCGTGAGCCAAGCAAAAGTTGAATCCTGAGGCATGTGCCTAGGTCCGTGCACACACGCGGCACCCTATTTAGCGACTTCTCGCTTCTTCCGTAGACACTCAATTCAACCATCGAACACATACACTTCAAGTGGTTATGAGCCCTCGACTGCTTCCGACCTGAGACAAGAAGAACACCCTCCTGTAGAAGCAGGGGGTGCGACCAGGAACAAGAACAAGACCCGACCGACACTGAACAGCCAAGATGGCCGTTTCCGACTCGACTACTGCGACTGTCGCGACTGGCGGCATTCGCAAACTCACACCTACCAAGCGGCGCTCTAAGCTGGCTAAGAAGGACGACAACAAGAACACCGACAAGCAGTACTGCAATTACTGCAAGAAGAAGCATGGTCCAACCTGCTTCAAAAAGAACCCTGAACCGACTGAACCTGAACCGACTGAACCTAAACCGACTGAACCTGATACGACTGGACCTGACACGACTGAACCACGACTGAACGGCTGCTTTAAGCACCCACCTACAAGAAGCAGGGGGTGTCGTAGCTACTGACTGAACCGCAATCAACACCTATCTGCTGGAAGCAGGGGGTGCGGCGGCTGATTGACTGATTAACAACCATTGCAAGGGCAAGATGCCTGGGTTGCTGATTGACTGAACTGGACAACCATTAGAAGGGCAAGATGCCTGGGTTGCTGATTGACTGAACAACCAATGAAGGGCAAGATGCCTAGGTTGCTAACTGATTAAACAACCATTGGAAGGGCAAGATGCCTGGGTTGCTGACTGATTGAATGACTACCTTGTTTGATTTGAGCGACTTTGTATTCACCAACGTGCCTTGCATGTGCACGAGGGGGTGAGTTGAATCCTGAGGCATGTGCCTAGGTCCGTGCACACACGCGGCACCCTATTTAGCGACTTCTCGCTTCTTCCGTAGACACTCAATTCAACCATCGAACACACACACTTCAAGTGCAAATCATTACCAGATTTTGAGGTTCACTTTGGAGCTATTTGAGTCGTAGAACACTCGGTCGCACGTAGCCTTAGCAGCAAGTAGCCCTCCAGTGTTCTCTATCACGTCCTCACAGCTCTTTCACTCAGTTGGCGGTCGACCAATCCTTTCCGTTTGAAACCTAGCGCTTGCCTTTCTTTTTGTTTTGACATGATCTAGCTTCTCACCAGTGTCACAGCCCATCTGCTCCGCTTGAGAAAGCTCTGGAGTCGATTCCGGCGCAGAAGCCCTCGCAGCATGATTCTCTTGCTCCGTTGGCAACGTTGAGCCAGGTCTCTGATCAGTAGTATTGGCGGTTCCTCCTCCCGAAAGAGATGGCGGGAGACTGAAAAAGTTCCCCTTGAGTTTGTTGATGAATCGCCGGACAGGGTTCGCGTTCGGATTCTGGCTCATGTTGAGATCCTGTCAATGACAACTCAGACTTCTGTAATGTCTGAATGCAGGCGCATTGGTCACATTGGGCTGAGACTATGCATTCGCCGATCATGATTGCTAGCCAACTGTCGCGGCTTTTCCGATGATTCTTGAAGGCGATAGAACAACCCAACGGCGGCGATGGACATCTCGAAGCTGACTTACTGGAAGCTTTGCAGGGAGAAGCATGCTGTCAGATTACTTCAGGTCGTGGTGTTATTGGGTAGTATCGAAAACATGTGACTAGCGCACGCCAAGCATAGCCCTGCGCCTAGCAAGCAAGCCACTGTAAGCGCCCTCGTGTATCTGCTGAGGCGTATTGTGCTTCACCCTAATGCATGCAGCTTTCGTCAAAAAAGGGAGAAGAACGCCTCGAATTCACTACCGACTGTCCTCGCAGCTGAAGGTCCAAGAAGCATAGCTGTACGATTCGAGATCCGGGGAGGCTTTTGAGGCCCAGAGCAACGTTCAAAACTGGTCGTATCTTCTCTGAAGCGAATTTCCACACCAAGCACCAAGCGATGGCCGCAATTCCTCTGCTGAAGAACGAGCCCTTGGGTTCTGACGATGACTACAGCGACTCTGGAGAACTCGTCACCACTCGAAGACAGAGAGCTCTGCTCCGGACGGAAAACATTTGCTGGGCAATTTTCTTCGCCTTCCTTCTCGCTCTGACTCTCGGCATCTCTGCTGGCGTTGCGACACTGGTGGTGCTCAATTTCAGACCGCAAAGCCCGGAAGTGGATTCTTGCATCAAGAAAACAGCTGCTGCTTCGCCTGTAACAAGAGACCTGGATATCACATACCACATCCAGCAGTTCAATGGATCTTTCATGGAAGAAAACGTCTATCGCAGGAAAGGTAGTCCTGAAGTCGATGCAGCCTGGGAAGCTCTTGGCGTAAATTGCCGAGCCGTGCAGATTCCAGCAGAGGTCGGACCACAAGTAGGCTTGACGCATAACCATGTCCAGATCAATGAGGCGTACGGTGGCGGATTTCCGGCTAACGTGGAAGGGCTTCATCAGCGTTGTAAGTGTGCTTTCAGAGCATCAAATTGACAATGAGCTAATATCAGCTGCCTGTGCCATTTGGTAGGAGGCCAAGGTAAGCGTAAGCATTTTCTCAACTACCATCAAGTGCTTGTTTGTTGACGAAACTTGGAGCGAGCAAGAGAGTGGAAAATCCGGCGAGATCCGAGATCCGGAAAAGCCAATTTGTTCTCCGCAGCCGCAGCCGGCTCGAGCGTCCTTGGCCTCCTGTGTCCTGACACGATCTATTTCTGAGTGCAATATGGCGACTACCTCGTCAGCTCTCGTCGCGACACACTGCCGGAACCACGTCTGAACCTCCCCGAGTCACTTCTGTCGCCTTGTGCCGTGCCAGTACCATGGTCTCTGGAGAACTCTGAGACGAGAGCAATCAACGACCGGATATCCCCATTCGAGCATCTTGGTTATGCAACGCCTGTCTTATTGCGCTGGCGGCGATCGGCATTCACACACTTCATTGCTTGCGGCAACTTCTGTTCCCCCCCGGTGACACCCGTGCCGGATCATGATACCAGCGACATCATTGGCCTGGGCTGTTGATGGCATCAGGCCTACCACAATTGCCCCATCAGCCATGCACTGGCGTGGGCTTGTACAGCATGAGCCGGGCAACTAAAGCATGAGCCGTGAACGCGACAACACTGCGAGCACGTTGAGACTGTACCATGGTTGTCAAAGACACATGTGAGAGAGGCACTCCTGTCTGTCGCGAGTTAAGTCTGCACTTCCTTTCAACCAGCACTCTTGGACAGTTTTTCCTTGCACCCTTCCTCTTTTCGAGACTCACTCAATTCCATACATACCCCATTCGTGGCCAGACACTCATTTGAAGCCAGATCATCACACTCTTCCAGACATCATGCATTTCACAGCTTTCATTGTTGCCGCCCTGACTGGGTCGGCGTTTGCCCTTCCAATTGGAGATGCCGTGAGTAACAACGTAAATCTGCTGCAGATATTGGCTAACGCAGCATGCAGCTGGAGGCAAGGACGGTTGTCAAGGACCTCGAAGGCTTCACGAAGCCAATTGTAGCTCGCGAGAACAAGCTGCCCGATTTGAAGACTGCCCCTCTTGTTGGAGGTCTTGCTGGTGAACTTCCAACGAAGAGGCAGGTCCCCAACCTTCCTGTTGTGGGCTCCCTCACCAAAGTACTCCCGATGAAAGAGCGCGGTCTTCCAAGTCTTCCAAACCTGCCTGTCGTCGGCTCCCTCAGTGGGCTAATTCCAGTCAAGGAACGCGGCCTTCCAAGTCTACCAAACCTGCCTGTCGTCGGCTCCCTCAGTGGGATAATTCCAGTCAAGGAACGCGGTCTTCCAAGTCTACCAAACCTGCCTGTCGTCGGCTCCCTCAGTGGGATAATTCCAGTCAAGGAACGCGGTCTTCCAAGTCTACCAAACCTGCCTGTCGTCGGCTCCCTCAGTGGGCTAATTCCAGTCAAGGAACGCGGTCTTCCAAGTCTACCAAACCTGCCTGTCGTCGGCTCCCTCAGTGGGCTAATTCCAGTCAAGGAACGCGGTCTTCCAAGTCTACCAAACCTCCCAGCTGTTGGATCACTCTCGAACTCTCTCCCAATCAAGCGCGAAGACATTCAATGCGTCAAGGATGAGGAGGGCCGGTGTGAGGGCCCCGCAGACTCAACGTCGATGAAGCCTACTGCAAAAGGCACAGCAACAGGGACTGCAGCAGCAAAGGCGACTTCATCGGGCATACCGAAGGTGGACTACATGAAGATCATCGAAGATGCGCTTCCTATCTAAAGTCTGATGCTCGGACTGCGTGCCTAGGGGACATAGGTATTACGGCTGGACGGGGCAATTGAGTTCGATAAATCTCCTTGTGGATGTATAAGATCATGATTTATATATGTGTCGAATTTGTTTTAGCCAGTGGAAGAAGCTCCTTCACTTACCACTGCAAAACCAAGATCTTCCAAAATCTTTGACCTTTCGAGGTCTGTGCCAAGCCTCGGCGTCAGTCGCGGTGGCTGCGGCGGCCGCACACGTTCACGTCCACCTTCATTAGCATCTCTCGTTGCACCACACTTCACACCTCACTTCCCACCTTATCATAAGTTGAGGCCTGGTGTTTACCTCAGTATTCCTCCTCCAACGTAACGCAAATGCAATTTCGACGCGACCCACGATGCCTAAGTGAAGCACACCTCGATGAGCACCATCCAGATCAGCATTTGCAAACGTCAATCACGACGCTGACAAGAAGAGACGGCCTGCTTGCCACAAAGGGTATCATCAGGGCGGATAGCCTTGAGTATTTGGATCCTGAACGAAAGATGCCTTCCACTCCACAGGACTACATACACCATTGTGCCGTTGATCAGGCTGCGCTTTCCACCAATTCGGCCGCCATGTACGGCTGAGCCTACCGCACAGCTTGAAAGACGGTGCCATGTCGCACACGTTAGTTCTAGCCTTTCCCTCGAGCGTCAGATAGAGAACGCGTTTCGATGGAGAGACACGAGAGCTCCCGCTACAAACACAAACAGTTACCCTCTAGTTGCATCTCAATGTCACAGGCTTCCTATTCACCACGACCAAGACTTCAAAACTTAGAGCTGAGCAGTAGATGGCAATTATTGCGACTCCAGCTCTTTCGTTGAGCATTGCTCACCAGAAATGCCAACTGCCAATAGACGCAAAACCCTTGCAACCTCTGAGCAAGTTTTTTGTCGGATAGAGCATTCCCGCCGATCATTGGACAGCACAACCACCGGCATGTGTAGAAACTACTGCGGCCTGTACTGCACTGCAGCTGCTGCGAAGATTGGAATCACGAGTGCCGTACCGAATCATTCCCTTTGGTGTTCTCCAACTGGCATGGTGCGGGGATTCCTGGTATAGATTCTGACTGTCGAGAAACTTGCGCACAACGTGACAATCACATCGACTTATAAGCTGCCATCATCTCCAGCGACCGTTGACGCGTTGAGCTTTCATTGCTCATAGCATCCCCGATGGCCAAATCATCCTCCGCAACAACTATACTGGGATGTCTTCTGATTTTGAGTGTCTCGTGGGTCAATGCCTCTAGAGGTGTTCCTGGGCATGGGTTTGTGGGATATGGCACGTTGCCGAATACTGGTGAACATCATGCTTCCCCATTGCTGACCAAGCCATAGGAATTACCATGTACAAGCCCACATGTGCGACAGCATGTCGCGACAGTGTCTCTAATCCTCTGGTCTGCAACGACACGTTGTCCGCTCCTGTGACCAAACGTATGGAAGGCATGAAGAAGCCTAGTGCAGAATGCTACGCGAGCAATGATCCTTTCTTGGAATCAGTTTGTGATCATGACTGTACGAAGAAGCAGTGACACTGTGATTAACGTTCCGTTTCTGCAGGTGGCGTATTGCATTTCGTCGCGCTGCCACGACGTGTCGGATTGGCGACTCGAGCAATGGTGGGCGAAGAGGATAGTTGGAAGGCAATCGCATCAGCCTCCTCCAAAGCAAACATACCAACAGACTCTGGCAAATATCATATCTCCGCCGAATTCGACAGTGCCAAGCGACCAAATGCTCATGCATACGACTCTGGTCAGTGATGAAACATATCAGAGCAATTACAATGCAGATGGCATATTCGAGGTTAATGAAGCAACGCATGTGCGCTACGGGTGAGTCAACTTGGAGTTGTCAGTGAATCCTACTGAGATTGGGTGACAGGCTCGTCCTCTTGCTGGGTGGAGCCGGTATCCCAATCGCCCTGTCACTACTGCGATTCGTGCCTTTTCCACGACATTGGGTCAGCCAGTTCAATGCAATATTCATTGATCCGCCAGCGTTTGGCACTAGACATCGTGTCCCGTGGCTGAATACGTTCGTGGCGCCTACTCGAGGACAAGGTCTTTTCATTACATACCTTTGGGTGATCAACATCGTCCTCTGTTCGGTCGGCTACGAGAATCGATGGCCCAACGCATGGTACACCAGCCCAAGCCAGCAGACAGCGACGTATGTCTCGTATCGGACTGGCATCTTGAGCTTTGCCAATCTCGCCCTGTTGGTCTTGTATGCTGGTCGCAATAATGTCCTCTTGTGGGTTACCAATTGGTCGCATAGCACATTTCTGCTGCTTCATCGGTGGATAGCTTTCATCTGCTGCCTTCAAGCTTGCATACACTCCGCAATGCTGCTTCAGATATATCGTAACTCTCCAGGCTACGACTACTCGTCGGAAAGTCAGCTGCCGTATTGGGTCTGGGGCATCGTGGCAACGATCGGTCTTGTCGTCCTTTTGCCAACATCGCTTCTCCCAATACGTCAGAAGTTGTACGAGCTCTTCTTGGCGTGGCATGTGCTGCTGTCTTTCGTTGTCATCCTAGGCTGCTATTGGCATGTCGTCGAGGCTTTCGGACACCAGTGGGGATATGAGACATGGGTGTATATTGCATTCGCGTGCTGGGCATTCGATCGACTCCTTCGGATTCTCAGAATTGCGCGGAATGGTGTCCGGCATGCACATGTCACTGTCTTGAGTGATGAGTACATCCGCCTCGATATTCCAGGAGCCACTGGTACAGGTCATGCTTATCTATACTTTCCTACATTGAGTTGGAAGGTTTGGGAGAACCATCCATTCTCTGTCGCCGGCATCCTACTCCCAACGGAGGGAACGACCGCCTTATCCGACCACTCCTGCTCGTTGGCTGCGGACGTAGAGAAACCGGCTCTGCATGCCGTCGAACCTGTCATCTCGTCCCCGTCCCCATCCCAACATGGTTACTCTATGATGCACCGCTCATCTTACCGGACAGGGCTGACGTTCTTCATTCGCACCCGGAGAGGTGTCACCTCAAAGCTCAGTTTCCGCAAAGAAGTTCCCGTCTTGATCGAGTCCTCTTATGGAAAGACAATCATTCCCGATGAAGATCTGCATCCTTGTGCGAACCTGGTCTGTATCGCTGGTGGAGTCGGAATCACAGGGATACTTCCATACCTGTTTTCACATGTGGGTTCAAGTAAGCTTTACTGGGGAAACAGAACGGACGCACTCGTCGCTTCCATAGAAAGCATCTTGCAAACCCTAGCCCCTCGGACGGAGACCACAATTGTGCAAGGAAAAAGACTCGAGCTACGCACAGTTCTCGAACAAGAAGTCGCGGTCGATGGCGGTACTTTGATCGTCGTCAGTGGTCCTGCGAGCATGGCAGATGACGTACGCTCCATTGTCTGCGATTTGGTGAAGCAGCACAAGACGGCCGTGATACATTTCAAGGAGGAATCCTACAGTTGGTAGACCACACAATTGTAGAGTGTCCAGGAAACTTTCAAGGACAACGCTATTTTTGGCACCGCATACCGTAACTGATACCACTAAGTCTCCGAAGCAGGTCTCGACCTGAAGACAAAACGAAATGCCTCACTGTGATGGTCCATATTCCGACCTATTCGGCATCCTGGCGCCGAGAAACACGAGAGCATGCAGACAGTTCTTCACAGCCTCAAGCGCTTCCTGCATGTAAGAGCTTCTAAAAGGGATCAGTATCGAGAGAAGCTCAGAAGCTCATTCGCTAAGATTGTGGGCCCAGGACTGCCGCGGAGGGAGGATGTGAGAGAAGGATGAATTACGTTTGCACAGCCCGAACAAAGCCAGCTTGCGCGCCACCCGACTTTGAACATCGCGATGCACTGTCGAAGTCGATACTGACGTGCGGTGGGGACTTCAATATATAGACACAACAAGCAGATTGGGCAGTACCAGCACTTGTCAACAGAGATGATCTATCCCATGTTCTACCACTCTTGAACAATCATTACACTCTTCAAAACTTCCAGAACACCAAACCACATTCCGCTTCCTTTCGAGACTAGAGCAAGCCTCCGCAAGCCCAATTCGCGCTCTAGATCAGCAGATCAGCCTTAAAATAAACCTGCCCATCCGGTGTGAAAGGGCAGTTGCACCACTGCGAAGAACCGCAGTTGTGGATATAACATTTCTCCCGTTCCCGAGAGACTCGATCTTCTCATCTCATCAGCCTTCCAGCTCTACCAAGAAATCGCAACAAAAACAACAACAACAGCAGCAGTACCTATCCCCAAAATTCTCAAACTCCAATAAGAATAAAACCCCCACAAGCGCCCCACCAACACTGGAATCCATCCCCGAAAAAGAAATAAATACAAATTTTTAAATCATGGCGACGAGTTCTTCCTGGAATTCCAGCGGCTTCTATTTCTCGGCGAATACCAATACGATGGATCGCGAAAGTATGCCTTCGGAGAAAGCTGAGGCTGCGAGACTGAGATCGGCGGAAGTCATGGCGGCTTTGAAATCTGGGGAGCCCGGGGCTGCGGATAGGATGATGGGTGGTCAGAAGGAGAGTGGGAGTAAGGGAATTGTACCGTTGCAATGGGTGAAGTCGAAGTTTGGGGGGAAGAAGAAGAAGATGGAAGTGGAGAAGGAGGTGCAGGCGGGAAAGGTTGGGGCAGATGATCAGAGTGTTATGTCAGGAACGACTTTGGGTGCGGATGAACAGGACCCGACGATTAAGAAGATTTGAGGTTGGGATGATGGATGGATGGAATGGTTGGTGCTAGTGATGAGTTATGAATTTCATTAGTCTTAGTAGTCAAGGCTATCTTCTTCTTTGGAGTACAAGTTCTACATGTACATCGCGCCATAGGTCGTGTTTCTGCTCGTGGAGATGCTTGGAGGTAAGGCATCAGCCGCAGTGCCCCAAGAGCCTTCTTTCGGACCAAGGGTGAGCTCTAGCACGCCTCCATTCAGGAAGAAGCTGTGTGAGATCCAGTTCTTGGCATACGGCTTGCCGTCCAGGGTGGCATTCTGGATGTAGATATTCTTGTAGTCTGCATCGAAATTCACGTTGCGAATGGTCGCCTTCTTTCCGGTAAGCTTGTTGTTAATCGAGACCTCCTCAAAGAATGGAGCTGTAATGAAGTAGACGTCCTGGCCTGCATTGGGGAATATTCCCATCATGGAAAGTGCGACGAACGATCCCATAGCTCCAGAGTCGTCGTTTCCTGGAATGCCATTCACTGTGTCGTTGAATTGCGATGGAATGTAGAAGTGAATGCGCTCGGCGCTCTTTCCAGGGCGGCCGGCGTAATGATAGAGGTAAGTTAGCAGGAAACCCTGCTCGTCACCAATGTAGAGGAGACCGCTCTCGTGAAGAAAGTCGAGTCGCTTGACGAAGGTGTCAGCGCCGCCTTGGGTGGTGATCAAGGACGCCATGTCATGAGGAACATAGAAGCTGTACATCCACGAAGAGCCTTCATACGTTTCGTGACCATCTGGGTTTAGGTAACAGGATGTGAAATTCGACAACGGCGAACAGAAGATGGGATCCTGGTCTCCCCAAGTACCATTGAGGAACTTCGGCATGAGGAAGCCCGTGAAACCAGTATCGGTGCCATTTATTGACGACTTCTGGTCGGCTTTCCACATATTGGCCCAGTACCCGGATGTGTCAACGTATTTCTCGTAATCGGCCATATTGCCTTCACCATGGGCCATCTCAGCGATGCAAAAGTCGTCATAAGCGTACTCGACAGTCCGCGAAATGCTTCTCGAGAACGGGCCCACGCCGTAGGGATCGTAATCGTTAGTAGGAACGTATTTGAGATTCTTCCAAGAATGCAGACCTCCACGGCCCTCGACAGACCAGTTTGGTGGCTCGGCCTCAGCGTCCTTCTTCACAGCTTCGTAGCCCATTGTCCAGTCAACGCCATGATCGGCAGCCAGCTGCTTCATCTTTACATATGTGTCGGCAAGAACCACATCGGCGTTCGAGCCGCCTTGCGTAAAGCCTTTGCAGAGACTCATGCGGCAATCTGGAAGCCAGCCTTCGTGTCGATAGATGTCGATCAGGCTGCGAATCATCTTGATCTGGTGTAGCGGGTCTAGGAGGGTGATCAAGGAGTGGATGCTACGATAAGAGTCCCAGATGCAATAGTAAGAATCGTAGTATGGCTCATCACTTTCCCACAGCGGGTTCTCGCCAGTGTAGTCCTGCGGGGATATGCCGGCGCGGTATACACCGCTCCAAAAAGTGCGCAGCAGGCTGGAGTTCACACCGCTAGGACTGACTTCAATGACATTCAAAGTATCGTCCCACGCTTGCCGCGCCGCGCTATGGACGCTGTCGAAGTCGAAGTCTGGGATCTCTTTCTCTGCGCTACTGCAGGCCTGCTTAGTACTGATGAAGCTTACGCCAACACGAGCAAGGATCTGGTTGTTACTCTTTGGTGCCTTGAATCTAGCCCAGGCGCCTGCAGGAAGGACTCTGTTAATACCATCCGTGTATACAGAAAGATTCTTTGGCTCGCTTCCAGCTCGGGTGTTCATGAAAACACCCGTATCTCGAAGGTCAGCTCCAGAGAAGTCGGCGCAGAAGAACAACTCGTAGCTGCCGATCCCAAAGCTGGGATTGAAGACGCCGCTCCCTGAGATGCGGCCACTCTCTCCGTCTACAGAAATTGAGCCATTGCTTCTGGATCGGGGTAGATCTGTAAGGTCTGCTAGAATAAGTGGGCTGAGAGTCGCATTCTTTTCCGTTGGTTGCTCTGGAAAGGTAAATCGATATAGGGCGGTATGATTTGTAGTAGTCATTTCTGCTTTGATTTGGGTCTGCATGGTAATAGCAAAGTAGCCCGGATGAGCTTCCGCGGAGCCATTGACTCGCGGAACCGCTCGGTCGGCGGTGGCAAACACACACCGGTTAAGGTCGTCGTCTGGACATCCGGCCTGAGGAAATATGGGAAAGTTGCCGAGTGAGGGTGACTATCATGAGGTCAGCCAATGATTGGTAGAGCACGCGCAATGCTTCGACTTTGTGTTGTTGAACGACATGTCAGGCAAACTTTAAACATATTGCTCTCATTGAATGTCGAGAGATGAAATTTTCATCATGTAGTCGGTGAATAATGCTTGAAGATCCAAACTTACTCCTCCAGTACCAGAATCGTGCATGTGACTGAAACCTGTGATACTGCCAGTGTACGGAGGCGAGGAGCAGGACAGACATTGGGTTATGTCGTCCGGGTAGGACGAGTAGCCAGCCTGGTTTTCGAAATTCACATCGGCCACAGCCTTAGCCATGGCAAATGGCAAAGTGGCTCCCGGAAAGACATGGCCGCCGTTCGTGGTGCCGATGATGGGGTCGACCAGGGATAAAATGCTGTCGGCGTCGGTGCGTTCTGCCCGAGCGTAGCGTGCCTGCAGAGAAGTGGCCACGCATAGCAATATCGACAAGCCGGACATGGTGAGCGGGACCAAGTGCACTGGCCTGGAGTGAACAAGAAGCTGGTGAGGACGATGCTGTACAGAACATGATTGCGGCCTGCCACTCCATAGTAGCAGTAGCAGCAACAGCAGCGCAGGATGCCAGCAGCGCAGGATGCTTGCATCCGATGATGATGTTGGGATGTAACAGTTGTATCCGTGAAGCGGAGATTTCGGCTGAATCCAATCGTTCGAGTGGCCGGAAAATGCTTGGCAGGCACCGAACCAACAGGCACAGGCACAGGCACAACAGCTTCATCGGCAGTGGTTAAGCCTCAGTATGGCGACCGGCCATACAGTCGGACAACATCAAAGCCTTTGCCAGCGATATAGAATCGGGCTTCGTCACGGCCTCCGTACGACTATGCGATGCGCAGGAGTGTCATCGGCCACAATGGCTCATCGCCCACGAAGCACAATGCAGCGAATGATGTCCAGCAATGACCTCCTCGTCCTCAGAACGGCCAAGAGGTCGCTTGCATGGAGCGCGATCGAAGCAAGAGCAGACAAGTTTGGGCAGAATCACACTTGGTTGCAGAGCAATGCAACGAGAATGGAAAGGGTACAGGCAGACCTGCTGGCCCAGTGTGCCTTCTGGAAAAGCGTGAAACCAGAGCTCGGGCAGTGATCTCGAGTGCTATGATGGCAATGTTTCAATAAATGAGTCCGTCAATCTACTGCTCGTATTCCCCCTGCGTCCAAAGACATAGATGGCGGCACAAGCACTCTCGAAGCAAGAAAGTAAGCGGCTGAGGGGAGTTCATCTTCGACATGCATCAATTTTACACAACCTACTCGTCCTTTGCTATGGCTCCTCGTAGATAAATACATCAATGCCGGCAGACTTTCTGAGGAGAACCAAACTACTTGTCTTCGGTATCATCTAGGGCTGCAACACTTGCTCTGCTCTCGAATGGCAGCTGCGAGCCATTTTTCATCATTCGAAGCTTCAGGTGACCTAGACATGACTTCGGCTCACTATCTCACGAATCATATACGTATAGACAGCCTGCTGCCCTCTTTCCTTCTCCACAGGCAACTGATACAACATCATACCCAGAATTGAGAACTGCTTGGCCCGCATCCTAAGTGGCAAGTTCCCGGAGATCTTGGCCTTCCTGCCTGCAAATGATATCGACTCCCAACAGTCTGGGCATTTGCAGGAGAAGGGTGCTGGATACTTCAACTGAATGAGGACAATATAGCCGAGTGTAACAGGCTTCCGCCAACTTTCGACCATGACGAATATTTGCAAAATGTGAAGAGAATGGGTGATGCTTGGTATGCCAAAGACCACGCTCTGGCGGGGAAGATCACGGTACACGCACGTATGGAGACGGAAAGCTGTCCCTATGTATCTAAAGCTGTCGAAGTTGAAGGGGCGACGGCAGAGGGCCGATGGACTTTGGGAATTTGGTGCTTAACGAGGGTTTGAAGGTAAGTTACCATTCGCGTTGTGGAGCGGAGCGTCACACTGTCGAGGGTCCATCAGGAAGATCGGTAATATACACAGTGTGGGCCAGAGTGCCAAGCCGCTAGCAGGTTTTCATGTGTTTTCGGCTTCACTTCACTTCCGCTGCTGGCAGTCTCTGTCACGCGGCACAGAGCGAGTCACGCCACGGCTCAGCCCGCAATCGCGAGAGGTATTTCTTTCGCACTCTTGCTGAGCTTCTTCTCTTCTCTTCTCTTCTTCTTCAGCTCTCTTTGTATGTCAACACCCACCCCTACCCTTCATCAACCATCAACAACATCTTACTGACTATCTTCACAGGCCTTTTGGCTTAGATCAAGTGTAGTATCTGTTCTTTTCAGTTTAATCTCTGAAACGTGGCTACGGCCACTTCAATGATTATACTTATTTTTGGCCCTCGATGGGCGGCCGCTGGGCTTGCCTATGTCGCCTGTCACCGTGTCGCTAGTATCGCACTAACTCTAGCTGACGCGACCCTCCTTTTTCATCAAATTGCGCGCTATAGGCGAGCATTTGGAGAAGAAGCGACATTGCGACGAAGTGGTTAGCCATCGTAGAAGACGCGCTCTGAACAGGCGCGAGATATAATAGCTGCGCGTACCGAACATCACGTTCATCGTCGAAGTCGCGGCAAGGCAATCGATGTGCTACGCTGTCACGGAGTTCAAGAGGCGTGGACAAATATCACTCTCGTCAGCGCGACTTTGTGGCCAGCGTAAAGATACTGCCCGTCGCTGGACACGTACGCCATCTCGACTGCTATACAAGGATATCTCAACGCGATGCAAGCGCCAGAGTTGGCGCAGTCATTATCTCTAGTCTATCTGATCCGAACTCTTGTACAAACAAATCGAGTGGAGAGCCCTGCCCTCGCTCAACCATCTCTTTTCCATCATACATGGCTGTATCCATTATGTGGCCTGTTTGCCGATTTTCCACCCCCAACTCCGCAAGGTCTTCACCACCTTTGGTGTGATGGCGAGGGTGAGGGGTATGCGGAAGAAGATGAGCGACTTGTGCACTCCGTACGCCAATAGTAATTGTGTTCCGAGACCTGGCAAATGGAGTCAGTTTCTGAAGATTCTCCGCAGAAAATGTTCAGAGCTCACCTGGATTCTTGCCCTTGGCGTCTTCTGCAACAGCATCGCTTGCCTCTTGCGCCGCCTCAGCAGCCTCAGCAGCCTGCTTCTGTAGTCGCCTCTCCGTCAAACTCGGAATGACCTTTTCCACAAGACCCCAGAAGCCATCCACAATTGCGTGCTCCACTCCCGCTATGCGCTCTGTACCGAACCACCTCACAGCCAAGAAGCAAAATGGGAAGTCAAGTACTGACAAGCCCAAGTATATGCCAGTGACTGTCCATCCATATTTTCTCGACATATCCTTCATCCGGTCAGACAGCGTCCTCTTCGCTTTGGGAGCTTCCGTTGCCTGACCGCTGCTATGTCGTGCCTGACGCCATACCCGCGATGAATGCAACCGCCATGAGTTCTGAGATTTCCAGAAGCGCAGATCGCCGCTCGCGAAGCTGCGCCTTTGTGGTGTTGTTCTGGATGATGGTCTGAAGATCTGTTTGGCGAAGCCTTGCCTCAGTGGCGTCCTCGAGACTGCCTGGTGGAGGGGTGCTTGGGCGAAAAGCTGGAGTAGGCGAGGATTCTTGAGCATCGCGCTCGATCCGTAGCGGCGTCGGCGAATGTGTGTGGCTTCGGGCTATGGGTGCATAGAATCTCAGCTTGACCATCACCCAACCCCAAAAAAGTGGTTACACTTTGCGGGAGCCGGCTTGGACCGACCGGCGATCAGCACGCTGTCTCCTCCACACGGGATTCCGAGACATCATCACGAACTGTCAACTGACAACAACATGACGGGCCGGATACGGTCTCTTGTTGGATCCGATGAACGACCGCATTCGCGGTGGGCCTCGTGATTGAATCGTACACTAGGCGTGCCCGTGTCCCCGATCGAAGACCTGGCTACAGTGGCTAGGGCTCCGGCTGGCGTGGCGAAACGAACGTCTATCAATGCAGTTTGGATGCCCAAGTCCACAGAAGCGTTGGACTGGAGATCTGCGTTGAATAAGAAATCTTTGCAGATGTATGGAATCGAAATCGGAAAGAGATCTGCCATGTTGAAGCAATCTCGATCTTGTGCAGAAATACCATACCGGCTTCGAAGTGCAGATGTTTCATATACTGATGGACGTAACCTTAATCTAGTACTGTATATTGATTGCTATAGGCATCAAGCGGACGAATCGGACGCGGTGAACATGTCGAACTCCGCTCTGAAACAAGGTCGCATGCTTGGAGCCTCTACCAGATCGCTTGCCATAATCGATGTTGGGCATGATTCACTGCGAAATTTGGATGGGAAAGCCTCTGGATTCTCTCATCTCACATCGAGGCTATGATACAGAAGGCGTTCGCCGCCTCCCGATGAATTGCCCAACCCAACAGGGCTGATCTTCGCTCACTGTGTGCAGAGTGGACTCGTGCTTTGACCGAAAGCACCTCGTACGACTAGCTGACCTGAGCCAGGCGCGCAGCCCTTTCGACAGTGCACCGGTGATCGGCATTGTCGGCACGCAGGCTGTATTCTAGCCACAGGGTCACCAAGGCTGCACGAGGGGCCAGATTTCGATGCGCTGCAGAAATGGGGGGTGCCTGTCCTGTCTGCGGGCCAAGAGCTGGCGTGGACGATGTGGTCAGCCGGTACCTGGGTGTCACCGAGGCATGCATAGTGCAATCAATAGAGACGGAGGCCCACGCACGGCACACTGTCGGCGGGAGAAATTTTGGAAGCAGACAATGGCGTATGGAGTACTCGACCTGACCCTAGAATAGTTGCCGCCGTGACCTCGAACTCTATGCAGCCTCGGCACCCGGGAAGGGAAGCCAGGCCAGGTGCTCGCCGATGTTGTGGTTCAGTCAGGTGATATGCTGGTCAGCTGATACTATTAGCTAACCTGTGCTAAGAGGAAGGACACACAATGGGTATATTAACTGCAGTTTCTGTAGTAGGCTCCTAATTCTTCTTTATATAGTTATATAGTTATCAATCCGATAATTAGTTACATCCCTAGTACGATTTACAACAGGTTATAAGCCCGGCGTATACGCTTACCTGTCTAGTTCAACTATAAAAGAACTGTTTCTAGAGTCTACTAAACAGAGCTAGCTATCTAGACCTATTAGGTACCTAGTTAAGAGCTCTAGTTCGGACTAAAACCTAGTAAGTGTCCCTTATAAGCCCTACCTAGTACTATACTAAAAGGTAGCTAGGAACGATAGATACTAATTAGACAAAGACAGCAAAGGAGAATTAGGTTCTTAGGAAGGGGATTAACTTCTAAGACTAGAAGCTTATATTCTAGGCGGCCCTTCTAGAAAAGGACCTAGTTAGTATAGTATTCTATAGACTTAACTAGGCTAATAAAATAAAACCACCTCTAAAAAGTATGTTTATAGGGGACTTAGCCGATCAGTAGTATAGAGACATATTTAGGGACTAGAAGAAGAAAGACATCTAAGCCCTAGGCATACTTATTGCTAGACTCGACCCTACTCTTAGACTAGACTTCGGTAATATACCTAAATTAGCTAAGGATATATACGACTACATTAAGGCTCTATATAAGCCTATTGTAACCGTAGACATATTTAATACTATCAAACTCATTAGGCATATTAGGATGCCCCTTACTAATCCGAATACCTAGCAGTACTACGAATCTTTTTAGTAGTAGTTTAACAGATTCTAAACATCGATAGAACAATTTGCTAGCTTAGTCACAATAATAGAAGCGCCTATAAAGTTATTAGATATTAAGATGCCTAATATGCTTATTAGGATGCTATTCATTTAGGGCCTTTCTAGTTACGAATAGCTTAGATCCTAGAAGTATAATAATAAGCCTAAAGCTAAGGACTCCTCCCTTAAAGCAATAATAACGTCCCTAAGGAGAGAAAAGCCTCCTAGACAGTCATCTAGCGGCTTAAAGCTTATTGGAGGGGCTATTGGCAATAATAACGACTAGTGCACTTAGTATAAGCATAAACACACTAACGCTAAGTGCTATAAGCAATACCCTAATATAGTACTACCTAGTTAGGGAAAGAAAGACAAGAGTAAAGACAAAGATAAAGACAAAGGTAAGAAGGGTAAAGGCAAAGGAAAGGGCAAATCTAGTAGTACTATTAACAATAATAAAGATAAATTAGACTCCTCCTCTAACTCGGAAGATAAAGGAGACTATTAGCTAGACGGCCTTAGTAGGGGCCTAATTAAAGGAGCTATTGCAAAGCCGGGACTAGCTATAGCAAGCTCTAAGAACCTAACAGCTAACACAAAAGTTTAGGATATAGGTATATTACTATATATTATAGGGAACAAGAGCTAGTTTAGCGATCTTAAGTACCTAACTAAGCCTGTTCAGTTCTCCTAAGCAGTAGGAAAATTAAGTGTATTACGATTAGGAACTGTTAACATCTTCCTAACCTATAAAGGAAAGAAAACCCTAATTACTCTAATAGACGTCCTCTACTCCCCGAACTTAGATTGCAACCTAATCTTAGTAGAGCGTCTTTAGAAGAAATGTAGCATTTACTTAGACAGACCTTTAGGCACTTTAATACTTAAAGGCAAGCTAATTAGAAAGGTTGAGGAAGTATAAGGAGTACTTGCCCTTAAAGATGCTAGAGTTAAAATGCTAGGCTTAGCTTTAAAACTAAACTTAGAATCGAGTTAAAAAGGGCAGCTATTAGCCCTAGCTATCGCTAGACTACGAGCGGACATATTGAGATAGTATTAGAGACTTAGCTACGTCGGTAACAAGATCCTAACAGCTACTAAGGAAGCTATTCTAGGCCTAGAAGAAGTTGATATATCTAAACTCGAGCACTATAAGACCTACAAGCTCTCGAGAGCTTAAAGAGTTATATTAAGAGAATACAGAACTAGACTAGAAAAAGCCCTTAACGAAGTCTATATTGACCTTGTTAGCGTACAACTATTTGATCTGTTTAGAAACAGGTATATTATAATCCTAACTAATGCTAAAACTAGGCTTAGGTAGGGTCTGTTACTTCGAAACAAAGACAAGGTAATAAGTAGTAACAAGCTAACTAACTAGATAACTAGAATCAAGAGGCAATACAACAAAATCCTTAAGATTATCTTTAGTAATAGCGGGGGAGAGTTTACTAACAACGATCTAGTACATTTTGTAGAGGAAGTTAGTATTAGATAGGATATGTCTATACTATATATACCGGAGCAGAATAGCATTACAGAGTCGTTAAACAAGACGATTCTGCTTAAGGCAAGAGCAATGATAATTGACTCTAGCCTACTAATATACTACTAGTACTTTGTAGTAATATATTCGATTTACCTAACTAATAGACTAGTAAACTTAAGAACTAAGGAAGTTCCGCTTAAGGCTTTCGAATTAGACTTAAATATCGGCAGTACAGACATTAACCTGTCTAAGACGAGACGATTTAGCTAGTATAAGGCATTCAAATACCTCGAATCCGGAGTTAAACGACTTAACTCCTAGAAATTTGCACTAAGAGCTTTCGTTTACTAGTTTATTAGATTCTAAGAAAATTCGTTAACAAACTATCTACTTTAGAACCCGTACTAGAAGGATGGCGTATAGTAGTATAACATTAGATTCTCTCTATACGTTACCTTCAACGAGGACTTTGTCTACAAAGACAATTTTACTAAGCTTCTAAGTACCCTTTAAGCTTAGGGGGAGTATTTAAGACTAGCTGTCCCTTAGGAGACCATTTAGGTACTTGAAACCTAGTCTAACCTTTCATTTGAGTTAGGAATCCTAGTACTATTCCCTAGTAATAACTAAACACCTTAGTACTCTTTAGAACCTTAGGGGGAGCTATTTGGAGGTAGCATCCCTTAGCCTTAGCAGGCTTATAATTAGGAAGATTAGGAAGACTCCCTTACAGCTTAGGGGGAGTAAGGTATACTTAAGCAAGGAACACCACCTTAGCTAACACCTATAGCTAATAAGCTAATACTCCAAAATCACTAACTAGAACTACTAGCTGCCTAGTAGGAAGCTACTCCTAAGAAAAATCAGCACACTTAAGAAACAGATACTGCTAAACTAGAAGACACCCTAATTACTCCCTTCTAAGTCCCTAAGACTACTAGTAAGAGAAAGAGGGCTCCTAACCTACCTTAGCTAAACCCTCCTTAAGCCGAAGTACGACTTAGGTCTAGCAGAGCCGTAGCTAAGCATAACTATAGCAAGATTACTAAGATTGCTATAGCTGCTACTATAAAAGATACTTAGAAGCTAGCTAACCTAACAACCCTAGCTAAAGCCCTAAAAAGGCCTAACTAGGATAAATAGAGAAAAGCCGTTACAAAAGAGATAAGGTCTCTTAAAAAGTCTAGTGCAATCGAGTAGATTCTAGCCGAATCCCTACTAAAAGGCAGAACACCTCTAATAGGAAAATAGGTTTTCAAGATCAAATACCTGCTAGACGGCTCTATTAATAAATACAAGGCAAGATAGACAGCTAGAGGCTTTATATAGAAGCAAGGTCTTAACTATATTAACACCTATACTCCTATACTAAGAGCAGCTACTACTAGACTTGTCCTTAGGCTTTTAGTAAACAAAAACTAGAAGCGAAGACAGGTTAATATCGAGACTGCTTTCTTAAATCCCCCTCTAGACAAAGAGATTTTTATTAGACCCCTAGAAGGCGCGTACCTGTTTAAGAAGCACCCTCTAAAGTAGATTATCCGTATTAGAAAAGGATTATATAGCCTTAAGCAGGCTGCTAATCTCTAGTACTATAATGCTTTAGACACTTTTCGTTAACTTAGCCTAAGTAGGACAAAGAGTAACTGTTGCCTATAGCAAGGTAATAGTATTCTTGTCTTCCTTTATATAGATAACTTCTAAATCTTTAGAACCTCTAAGGTAAAGATCGATGCTCTAATTGAAGGTCTTCGTAAGAAGTACACAATTAAGATTATTACGTCTAACCTATTTCTAGGCCTTTATCTAAAGGAAGATAAGGAGGGAAACCTTACTATCTCCTAGATACACTATACTAAAGAGAAGCTTTAGAAGTATAGCTTAGACTAGTATAAGCTAATAAGGCATCCACTTAAGAAGCTTTACGAGCCTCTTACAACCCCCTATAACCGTTAGGACTACTAGCTGTTTAATACTATAATTGGTAAAATGCAGTTTCTAGCTAACTAGACTAGACTAGACATTAGCTACGCCGTCAACTACCTTGCTAGGTTCCTTTAGAATCCCGGACCTAAGCATGTTATAGCTGCTAAACATCTCTAGAGGTATATTACTAGCATAGTTAACAAAGGACTTGTCTTTAGAAAGAAGAAAACTTTGGAATTTCAGGCATACTCTAACGCAGACTTTGCTAGTAACCCTTTATTATTAAGATTAACATTAGGCGCCCTTATACTTCTTAACAACACTCTAATTATATAGAGATTATAGCTCTAGAAGGAAGTCGTACTCTCTAGTACTAAAGCAGAGTATGTTGCTCTAATAGAAGTATATAGAGAAATCTGCTAGCTCCGAAATTTGATGACTAAGCTTTAACTACTTACTAGGGAAGAAGTCAATAGGATTTATATCTAGGTAGATAACTAGTTAGCTATTTCCCTTATTAAGGACTATACAAATTCTAAGAGGTCGAGGTGCGTTTCCCTTAGGAACTACTACTATAGAGAACAGTATGCCTAGGGAAAGATTAGTATCGAATTCGTTACTACTAACAAACAGCTAGCGGACTGTTTCACTAAGCCTAAATCTCTAAACAAAATTCTCTAATAATATAGCGTCTCTAGGACAAACTCCTAAGTTACTCCTTTAGAAAGAAAAATCTTATTTGTAGGATTAGAAAACAAGCTTTATATACTTATTGAATTTTATTCTAATTTCTAGAAACAGCCTAGCTATACTATACAGTCTAAGCTGCAAAATTTCTTTTATAACAACATTGAGACTAAGTAGGAAGAAATACCCTAGCCCTTAAGAGTTAGAAACTCTCTAATGCTGCAAGGCTTTTACTAATCTAGACTACCTAGCCTATTTTAAAATCGAAAACATACATTATAGCTCTCTATCTACTAGAAGAAACCGAATCTCCTTAATTAGCTACCTATCTTAGTATTACTGTCTTCGTAATTAGAGAAACCCCTCTAAGGACTACTAGAATCACGAGTCGAGCTAGGACTAGTAGACAACCTAGAACCTAGACTACGACTACGTCCCTAAGCAGTAGCCTAGGTATAAGCATTTGCCTACTATAGCAGCAAATTTGCTACTACCTAGGCGCCCTAAGGAGTACTCTAATCGATACTAGACGGGACTAGTACGTATAGACGACGCTAATTAGTACCTACTCTGCTCCCCGGATTGCGAGGCGGTAGAGGTACTATAGGCGTCTAACGATTCGTATTAGAGCGTAGCCGAGAGACGTAACCTAATAAAAGAATTAGTGTTTTTTGCTTTAAAGAAAAAATGTATAAGACTAGATTTAACTTACTAGAGAACTCGCATTAACTATAATAATTTAGGCTAGTATAGTTAGTACAAGCGCCCTTTAGGAAAGCAACATCCTAGCTATTAATTCGATAACTTAGAGTTACATACTCTAAGTATAGACCTTTTAACTGCTTGCAAGGACCGCACTAGCTATTACTAGTATGCACGCGTCTAGTAGTAGCCGTATATACAAGCGCGGTAGGCAGGTAGTTGACATTCGATTTAGAGCCTAAATTAAATACCTTAGCCGCCTTACGCAGGCGCGGAGGCATACTTAGAAATAGCCGAGCATTATCCTAGCTCGTAATGAAATGCCTAACATTAACGTTACGTAGCTAAGGCGGAGTCTACTCCGGACTAATATTAGTTAAGTATTAGATAATTCTCTAGAGAATCGCGATAGTTAACTAAACTTCCTTAAGGACTGCGCCTAGTTAGCAAATTATTAGAAAGGGGAAACTCTAATAGCAACACTTACTAGTCTCTATAAGCTAGAGCTTATTATAACGCGAAGGGTACCGATTCTTGTTTAGATTATTACTACCGCCGCCGCTGCTACTACTACCTATACTACTCGCTATACTCCCTAGGCTAGGGTAAAGAATTATCGCTATAATAAAGTCTCGGCTAGCTATTAGACTTAAAAAGTTTTAGTAAGAATTTAAATTCTAGTAGAGGCTGCTAGTACTTAGAGGATTGCTAAAGAGTAGATTGTAAAAGTTTAAGTTATCTAGTTAAGTTTAAGTGTCTTTTATAGGCGCCTACTAACCCTATAATTACGACTAAGGACATTACTCTAAAGCAAACTAATTAGCAAACAATATAATATAAGTACGTGCGAGTAGTATAGTATATAAAGCCGTATATAAAGCAGATATAGTCTAACATCTAAAGGCAGTTAGAAGATAAAGTGAAGCTCTAAGCCTAGATTTGAAGTATCTAATCTAAACAGTATATTATCTTAGCCTAAGGGGGAGTATTGTAGTTTAGTTAGGTAATATGCTAGTTAGCTAATACTATTAGCTAACCTGTACTAAGAGGAAGGACACATAATAGGTATATTAACTACAGTTTCTATAGCAGGCTCCTAATTCTTCTTTGTATAGTTACATAGTTGTCAATCCGATGATTAGTTGCATCCCTAGCACGATTCACAACAGCCGACGCCGACGCCGACGCCGATGATTGTGTCTGCTGTGGCTGAAGGAGATGCGTGCGTGGGTGCGTGCGGCGTGCGACGTGCGACGTGCGACGTGCGACGTGCGTGCAGTTGGCAGAGGCAGCCTGGAGAGTTTGATCAGCAGGACGAACACACCCAAACGCCATACCCTCGCCATTACTTCGCTCATTGCCTGGCGAAGGTTAGTTATGTGGAGCCTTCTTCTAGCGGCACGGCAGCCCAGAGCGGTTCGCTTCAATCACCTCCTGCGAGGCTGACGTTGCCAGGAATGCCGAGCAGACGTGAAGCAATCAAGGTGCTCCAACACCCGCAGCTGTGCAAGCAAGCTAGGCCAGCTCGGGAAGCACATAAAAGCCCTCAGCCCACACGCTGACCTCTGTCCAGGGTGGGCGAGCCCACTCTTCTCGTCAATTCTCCATTACATCCACAGTGACTATCATCTCTGACACGAGCATTGCACAACCTTCGAGGCCATGCATATACAACGCACCTTCGCCATCGCCACATCCAAGCCCACCCTCTTAGGCTTCATCAGACACCTCCTATCAACGCTCGGACGACGACTTCTTCACCATGGGACCAAACACCAACGCCACTACCGCCGTCAACATCGATGGCATAGGAGAGCTCAACTACCAACGTGCCGTCGACATCGCTCGCAACAGCGAAGGAGAGCTTGATGCACGAGTATCAGCCTATCTCGAGACTGCCATATCAGACATCTGGACACGCATCAACATCTCGCCCGACTCCTACTTGATGACCCAGGATGAATTCGCCGTCTTCAACTTCTACCGAGCGCGATTCAAGGGCGAAGTCGCAGAAACAGCCGTCGCTCGCTACTGGACCCATACTTACGGCTCGGCGTCCGCTGCAATCTAAAAGTCCCTTCGACTTGACAGCACGACAGCTCCCTTGACGATGACCGACACCCGGCGAACCACTCTTCCTATCACACCTCGTCAACGCGATGCAGCCCAACAAATTGCTTCGGAAGAAGGCCGATGCATTTCAAGACAGTCTGCATCCTGCTACACGGAATGCACAGCAGGAACCCCTGCTCCCGAGCCGAGGATGCATCAAGAAGACCGGGCCGAAATCCATTCAAAGTCACTTTGTTCAAGACACAGCAGACACTCATTTTTGACCTCGAATCTCATCAACGATATATGCTCGGCGTGTTTCAACGTCACCCTCACGGCAGCATATTTCACAGCCGACGATTCACTAGTCGCAGCCGATCTGGTCGTCCCAATATCCAACAGGACTGGCAATCAAGGCCAGGCGAGTGTTTTCCAATTCCCGCAGGACACGGCCTCGAACACCGTGACGCTGTCACGAAACATTGTGAAGGCGATCTTCACGATTGCAGCTACAGGGCAGAGTGTGGAAGAGGTGTGTGCACAAACACACGGAACAAGACTACCCCAGCTGACAGCGACAGTTTTGGTTCGGCAACGCTTTGCAATCTGACATCTACACCTTCAACGAAACCTATGGCGACTTGCCTGGGTTTTCGCCATTTCGTGAGGTTCAAGTCTTCATCGACGGACAGCTCGCTGGAGTGGTCTGGCCCTTTCCCATCATCTTCACTGGTGGTGTCGTCCCTGGTCTTTGGCGCCCAGTCGTTGGCATAGACGCGTTCGATCTTAAAGAGGATGAGATAGATATCACACCATGGTTGCCATTGCTGTGCGATGGCAACCCGCACAACTTTGGTCTGGCGGTCTCTGGGTTGAACGATAGCTCGGGAGGCCAAGCTATTCTTTCTGAGACTACCGATCAATACTGGCTACTCAGCGGCAAGATCTTTGTATAGCTTGACGAGGCCGGCCACATCACGACTGGGAGTGATGTGCAAGTCAACACACAAGCTCCTGAGTTCAAAGTCTCGTCGCACCTCTCACAGCTCAGCAATGGCACTAACGAGACTTTGGTCTACCACGTGTCGGCTCAACGAGAGTTGTTCATCAGCGCGACGGTCAACTTCTCTTCGGGCTCACAAGACACTTACTGGAGCCAGAGCCTTTCTTATTCGAACAGCAACAACTACACCGGTCAGGGCAATATCTCTACTACTTTACAAGATACCTCAGGTCGCGACCACAAGCATTCGGGAAGCGACCAGGGCGCTTCGCTTTCTACGTGGCAGAACGGCACGGCGCATTACACTTCGAACAGTACGCAAAAGACGTGTTGCACTTTCGGGACCACTGAGCAAAGCATGTCTTTTCCTGGGACCCATGTGAGCTTCGATAGAGCTCAGCGAAGCTTTCCGAAGTTCACGCAGTCTGATGAGCTATTCCAGCGATATGTATTGGCTGTCGACGGTACAATCATCGAGGACCAAGAAACTCTGATTGGGAAAAGCATTACGCATGACCACACCTGGCCCGAGGATGGTCGTGGAGTCCTTCTATCTGGTATGCCAGGTAGAGGAGCGTGCATTTCACGGAATGGTAATAGGCACCTGGAGGCTGTCATGGAGGAAAACGTTAAGCGCGGATTATGTTCGGTGAAATCCTCCGTGTCTCGGTCTACGGCATTATGCTGAGTCCGGAGAGCAGAAATGTAATAATTACGAGATGACTGCAAAGCAATGGCGCTCATCATGCTTTTTCATACTCGTTTCATTGCCTCGACCTCCTGGTCTTCTTCCAAGGCGTCAACCTCTCGCGGCAGCACTGCACCGCACATGGCGTCGCATGGACCATGCAGCCTCTGACAATTGCATACAGTCCGTCTCTCGGGCTCCATCATTCCCTGGCTGGCCTGCGGTGTCTGCAGTGCCACCAACACGACTACTACAGCGTCGCCAAGGCCAGCCGTCCAAGTTGACTCTGAAGGTTCACGCCAATGATTTATCTTCATGTCTCGGCTGAAGTTTAAATGTGTGACCGTTGGCCTTCGTTGAGCTCGTTTCTGTGCCTTGCCGCCAGCGTCTTGGGCTGCAGAAACTCTCTTTGCAGTGCTGATGAATTGAATCGAACTCGCGTCACGTTTGAAGTCGACCTGACACATGTCGATGCTCGGGATGACATGACGCTGGCTGTGGCGCATGAAATCCCTGGCTTTCTCCCTTGGCACGGCAGCTTTTCTTCCGCCAATCCTAGTTCCCTTCCCTTCCATCTCCTGCCCTCTCACACCATCGACCAGCTGGTGATGATGAATGATGTCCGCCGAGGAAAGGCACGCCGCCGCCCGAGATATTTCCCGCACCCGCACTCGCACTCGCACCCGCACGATGAGTCGTCAGTACCGTCGTCCCGCGTCCGCCGAGGAGCAGCTCACGTCGTTACACGCTGCACGAGCTCGACTTCGCTGCCGCCTGGAACGTCAGAATGACAGCTGAAGCATATCGACATTGCCGTCCACCCGCTTCTGCCGAGCCATGGCCCACTGCGGCCACTACAGCATCGCACACACATGGCTCCACCATGCTCACAGGGCAGAGTAGCTATGTGTCTGCCAATGCAAATACAGCGTCTGAACACGTCGGAGGGCTAAAACGCTTAGAATAAGTTTGACCAAGCAAAAGGCGATTTCAATGGGCAGAGATCCCTGCTAGCCAGAAACTGGGGAGAAAACAGTAGCCTTCGGAAGTGTTTAGACGACCGGAATGATTGCACTGCTGTCGCGCTTGTAAGGCTGCATAAAGTCTAAGGGCAAAAGCGGTCCCTTCACCGAGAAGCTCAGAGCTGTTGTATTGCACCCTTGACAGGACGCGACATCGTAAGAACGGTCTCAACTCTGAACAAGCTGATCCATGGTCTTGGCAAACAGCAACAGCAGCATATAAGCTCACAAACACATGTGGCGGTGCAAAAGTGGATCTGCAGCAGATCGCCCGAATCCCACATCGATGACATCTGCCCATGACTCGCGATGTGCGCTGGCGCAGCGAGGCGAGTCCGGATGCTTCTCAGCTTCTTCTCGAAGACGTCCATTTAGAGTCTAAGCTTGCAACCCTCTTATTTCCAGGTGGTCTATTACAGTTCAAATGCATCTTTGGTTGCAGAGCTTTGAAACATCGCCATTGAGCGCTCTGTGAAAGTCGAGCCTGGGTCAACTCGCCTCTGAATGCGAGGCGAGGCCAATGGGAAATATCTCTACAAGCGACATACTCGCCAAAGACCACTTGAAGACTCTAGGCCTTCATGGAGGCCACTGCAATTGGGTTATATGCACCCTTACCGTTGTAGCGCTTCACCTTCGGGCGCTGCCTCCTGTCGAAGCTCTTCGGGGAAAGTCCATACTCATTAAAGAGTGCTGGACGCTCGGTGTGCACACGACTGAGTTGAAACTTCAAGTTCAGAAATTGCGTTGAAGCATTCACACCTGACATTACTAGACTACGTTGCAGAAGCTGGCCCGATGACAGGCATGTCAAGAGTGAAGTCATCCTTTGACAATCCCTAGCCTGGGCACTGAATTTACCTGGACCTCTTGCAAGATCCTTTGTGAAGTGATTTGCTTGTGCTTTGGATATAGCAGCCACGTTAAACGAGCATTGCAAGTCAGCTCGAGTGCGATTAAGGCCTACTTATGAGAGTTTTTGCAATGACAATTCAGCGCTGCACGCCTCGCTTGCGCGATGCGCATCCTAGGACTCAGCTAGGTATAGGCAATGCCAAAGAAGGCTCGAATTACTTCCGGGCTCTGGGACACACCTTCTAGCGTATCGAAGCGCGTGGACCGCTTCAACGCTTTGGCCTGGCTCCAAGGCATCTATCTTCTGCTAAGGCATAGTCGAGCGTATAGCAACCACGGCGCATGGCACGCAGAATCGTGCAACACTCCAAAGATCAACGTTTGCTTGGCCCATCGCTTCCACTGGCTGGTCTAGGTCCGTCACGCTGGTTTCTCCCTGCGACACAGCCAAGCCTGTGAGAAACGGTAATGGTCTTGCGTTTCTCATTCTTCCAGTGCCCTCCATGCACCGTGAACTACGCATTTGTCAAGATTTGCTTGGCAAAAATGTTTCTTGTGCAGACGTTGACAGGGCATCAATCAACTCGCTTGTAAGCTTTCATATTTCGAGATGTCTCAACGTTAGCAGGGGCTAAATCCTACTGTAGCACGATTGCCACTGCACATGGACTTTGCACAGATCTTAGCTTTGAATGTCTTCGAAGGGAGGAATCAGCCACACCCGTTCAGCTATGCCGAGGAAGCTGGATTGCGGTTGCGGAAACTGGCATGGGTCGGTTTCTCATGCGATGTATGACCATGACCATGACCGTGAGACCACAGCAACCAATTTTGCGACCGTCAAATCATGCGAAAGCAGCAAGCAGCAGTGTTTGGGCATGATTGCTGGCCTAGGCTTGGAGCCAAAAGACGAAACAGATCCAAACGACGGCATGCACTGCAAATCATGCACGTGGTGACGATTCAGAATTGCATCTCTTACGCTCGAGCTCACATGGCAGATGCCGCTGCGACAACCAGGTTGTTGCCCTGCAGAAGTATGAAACATCTGATCTGCCTTTGCTGCGACAGAATTCTGAAGCAGGAAAACTGCAGCATGCCTGTCAAATCACCCACTGGGCCCCAAAGAACAGCATCTGAAACGCCGAGCAGCAGAAACTCGAGAAGATCATTCTCCAGGAGCATCATCGAAAGACAAACGCGACCTCACTTGCTGTTGAGATCAACAAGATTTCGCAAAAGCCGTATCATCGCAAGATCAGGCTAGGATGGACGCGAACATCATGCACATCTCGACCGCAATGACGACATGAACTCCGTTCAGAAGATAATCAGTACAGCTGAGCCTCGCCGCGCAGGCTGAGAGACAATCAAACCCCATTCGGAGTCTTTCACGGATTCCGATCAGCAGGAAGAAGGGTGATGGTCGCCGTGACCACGGACCACATGCCGCCTCAACAAAGACCAGGACACTCGCATGATTTGATGTCGTTCACTGCATTCTCACATTTTCCTTGGCATCGCAGTGCATGTATCCCGTGAGATGGGCGATGATGACGAAAAATGCAGATACGAAGTGCGCTCGCTCTTACAGGATCCGAGACAGCCATATCGTTTGCAATGCGAGCCTGTGTTTCCGTGGACTTGTGGCGAGAAGCCGTTCCCGACAGCAGACGCGCAAAGATCGGCAAGTACTGCACTATGTTGCACCGTGACATTGCCCGTGCATGAAAAAGCATCATTGAACGCGTCCAGAGCAAAGCGAGACGCTTGATCGTCCAACTCAATGCTTCTCGTCCCGACAGAAGCCGCCAGGGCCATTCCGGAGCAGTTGGCCACGACGCACATGTCTTGTCATGCTCGTGAGGCACGCCGTCGCCGCTCTGACTGCTTTGATCGGCTGGATACCATCAAAAGCTGCACTTGTCCAGCCGGAGTCGGAAACAGTCAGGTTCCGCTCAATGTCCCTACGCACAGCGTTTGGAATGTGACAGCAGCCACAACCGTTTGGACGGTCTTGCAGACTTTCATGGGTTGGCAGGTGCACGGCAATATCTGACCGAGCAGAGACATCCACGATTCAATCTTGCTTCTGAGCGCGCGTTCAAATTGACCACCTCTTCACTCGCGGCTCGCACGGCGGCATGTCCAAGTGACTGCAAGTACTACATCACACGGGCAAACCAACGTAAACCCTACAGTCACCTCCCTGCGATCTGCGATCGTCACCGAGTGGCTGTTCGTCAACCGTCCAGAAAGTACGAAGTTGATCATGCATGAGGGAGGGCCAAAGCTGAGAAAGAATCGAAGCAGCTGCAGAACACACACCTATAACAACACCTATTATCAATCTAGAGACCAAGACGATCCGTGTATCACTCCACCGGAAGCACCACCTTACCGAAAGCAACCACGGCCTGGGCACTTGTTCACGGCTAGTGGCGTTAGACGTGCGTACCGCCGTCCAACCAGCGATACCGAGGATTCAAAAGCGAGCATGATCAATGCAGCCACGGCTATATATACAGTAAGTAGCTAGATCCTAGCAGCATGCCCATGACCACGCCTCGCGCTCGTACAGGAATTCCGACGACCAAACGTTCGGTAGCCACCACTAGATCTGCACAGATAGGCGATCTCAATGGCGAGTCCAGGCTGCCACCCAAGAACTGAATTCATCAAAGGAAGCCCTTGGTAACCAGTTCCTAGAACAGTCAACATGTGACAAAACGCAACTCACAAGACTACTTACCCCATTACGCCAAGACCCTGTCGAACGCACAGCCTCATAGACCATGTAGAAGCAAGCGCTCAATGACTCGCATCAACCTCATACATCAAGACCTGGTCCATGAAGTCGACGCGGACTACTGCTAGTCGGAAATCCTCATCAAGCTTTCGGCGCAAACGCCTCCCTCTCTCGGCACGGCAGTAGACAACCTGGAACTCGGGATGAAAGAGCGTGCATTGAGAATCGGAATTGGGCATCCATACAGCAATCACAAACATCATCAAGTAGCGCCAAGACCATAGAACCCTGTCAAACAACGACACATCTGATGAGGCGTCAGCTCAGTCTGCAGTCGCTCAACCTTCCAAACCATGAATTTGAGCATCGGCTCAAGACTGCTCGAGCAGCAAACAGCAGTAACAAGATTCTAGACCTTGACCCTCCGTGCTGGGATCTCGTCCTCGCCGTCGCTCTCGAAGTCATCCGCCATGCTCACGTCGTTGAAGTCACCACGTGCTCCAATGCCGAAGTCGTCACCTCCACCGCCTTCGAGCATCTCCAGCATTTGCAGCTTTGCGAGACGATTCTCTTCTTCCATGCGCTTTTGCTGAGCGGCGGCATCGATGGCTTGAGCTTGCTTGCTGGGTGTTGTCTTCGCACTGTCTGCTTTGGATGGTCGGCCTCGAGGCCTGCCGCTGCTTGTTGGTCGAGAACCCGAGCCGTTCGTGACGAGTGTTCCATTGTCATTGCCGGAGCTGCCATTTGCGACCGCATCGATAACACCATCGGCGTCGTCGCTGTCGTCACCATCGTCCTCGACACTGATCGGATTGTCGACATTGTGAGGACGCATCGATGGTTGCTTGCCGCCAAAGGATGGTCGATGAGCGGACTTCTTTGCAGGAGTATTCTCTGCTGATGCGGCTTCGCTTTCTTGCTGAAGTTGAGCATCAGCAGCATCGCTGAGCCGCGACGCTTTAGCCTTCGGTCGATTTTGTCGCGATGGCTGATACGGTCGGTCACGATGGTCTTCAGGCAATTCAGAAGGCGCGTCAGGGTCATCATCAGCGTGGCGGTTCTGTAGATAGCCCGGCAGTGAGCGTCGACCCCTGCTCGTGGCACTGTTAATAGCCACAAAGGAAGAGTCATTCTCAAAGTCGTCATCATCTGAGCCAATGTCAATCTCTTCGTAATTCCTGTTATGCTTCGTGGCCTTCTTTCGTCGCTCTTTCGGTTGCCCATCCGTGCCGAGGTGCCTAGCAACGCGCTTGCCATTTGGAAGCCTCTCGCGATAGACGTAGCCGTAGCTTTCGTCCTTTTCGACAGGAACCAAGGCCTTCTTCGTGTTGCCAGTGATCACCAGGCCGTCTCGCAGTTTCTGCTCGTACACGTCGCTAGCCCTCTTCTTGGGTGCAATGTCACTCTTGAGGAGCAGACCCTCGGCGTCCTCTTCGTCCTCGTCATAGTGATCTGCATGCGCAGACTGAAGCACGCCGTCCTCGTCTTCGTGCTCTGCATCGGCGTCTCCATTTGCGGCAGCAGCCATAGCGGCCTTCGCTGCCTGTTGGGCAATGACTTGCGCGAGTCTGTTGCCGGGAATGCTCAGCCGGACAACACGTTTCTTGCCTTTGATCGCGGCTTGCAGCATGATGAATCGACCTTCGGCCTTGGCCTTGTCTAGGGCCTTTCGCTCCTTCTCTTTCTCGAATTGCCTCTGAGCTTCGTTTTTGGCCTTACTTGCCTGTGGGCCGACGGCCTCTTCGGCCAAGTCATAGGATCTGAAACCAGCAGCCGCAAGCCGAGGCTTCTTCTGCTTAGGCGCCTTTGACATTGCAATATCTTCCTCGTCATCTTCTTCGGCATTCTTGCGACTCCTTCTCCGCTTCCCAAAGGGTCGAAGAGCTTCGCCATTAGGTTCAGCAGGATCGGAGGCATCGCGATTGTAGCCAGGGTAGACATAGAAATTGTCGCCAGAGGGGTCACCGTACATATTCGCTGGAGGAGCGCCATAGCCAGAATAGCCAGCAGATGAAAGCGGTGCGTAGCCATCGGGCGCGGGTGCGCCAGCTGCCATAGCTGCGGGTCCAGGAAGTGAGGAATTGGCCAGTTGAAGTTGACGTGCGAGGGCGCTTTCTTCATCTTCGTCCTCCAAGGCTCCGGACATGCTGTACCTCTGGCGTCGGCCAGATGGTATCGAACCACTACCTCCAAGGGCCGGATCGAGCGCACCCTCGGCGTCGGGAGAGTATTCCATCTCCACCTGTGTCTCATCGACGACATCCTCGTCGTCGAGATCCGGGTCGCGCTCCTTGTCGGCCGCAGCTTCCGCTCTTGCCTTCTTAAGGCGACGCGAATCTGCGCGGTTCGCAGGATCATCGTCCTTAAGCCAATTCAGATTGCTGACTGAGAAGTCCACCAACGCTTCGACGGACCGCACGTCGGCCACTTTCTTGGTGTCGTGGCCCAGTAAGGTACCTTTCGGCTCATATGGAGTCATCTTACCTTCGCGTTTGCAAGCTCCGGCAAAGCAGATACCTAAACAGTGTGGGCAGGACCAGTCTGGATTCTCCATAATTTCCTGGGGCATTTTGTCCCATCCCCGGAAAAGTGAGCCGTAACACCACGCTCGATCGCAGGTTGTGCACTGTGCCATCTTCCAGATCGGATGTCGGTGGCAGCAAATGTGACAAGGCTTGTTGTTCTTGAGGAAGGTCTTGGACTTCTTCTTTTGCAGCTTCTTGACCGTGCCATCGTCGCCGACCACAATCTCCTCGTCCGACTCGTCATCATCTTTCGGTTCGTCGGGCTTGTTGAGATCCTTGAATGGTCGCCTCTTGAGTTGGTCTTTGCAAACCTCGGCCAAAGTCTTCTTGCCATATCTCTTGAATTCTTCGGTAAGGGGAAGTGGGGTCTTTTGAGTGACCTGACCGCCGTCGAGCTCGACAATCAGCTTTCTCCAACCGTCATATTTGCTGACGAGCTCCTTCCACTTGAACTGCTCCACCCATTGCAGCCCGCTGATGCAAGCACATGAACGGCCCATGGCATAGCAGTCCATACACACGTCATATGGATCGCCATCCTCATCAGCGCCATGACCGAGGCGGTCTTTGCAGCTCGGGCATGTCAAGAAGCGGTTGAAAATGTTGCCTCTGCAGTACGCGCAGGTCACATTTGAGTCGAATGGAATGTATGTCATGTTCCTCGGTACATCTCGATCGGAGGGGTTGAACATCTCGGTCAGCAGAATTTGTCTGTAAAGCGCGAAGAGGCGCTTGAAGTCCTTGATGAGCTGTTTTAGCTTGCCGGAGTAGAGAAAGTGGTGAGCAGCATCTCGTGGCATCATGCCTGCCTGTCGCTGCGCGTCCATGAGCAGACTGGCGTACTTTTGCAGGGTATAGTAGATGATGGCCTTATTCTTGTATTGCTCATCGCGGCACACGATACGACTTCTGGGAAGCGCTTCGTTGATGGCCATCTCGAGAGTTTCGACTGTAGTGCGATTCCATGCAACCTTCATGGTGCGGGTACCACGATTCCAGACTTGATGCGGAGCTAATGGCGGGATCAAGATGAAGTCGCCAGGACGCTGCTCCACAACGTAGACGCTGAACGGGGCTTTCTTCCAGGCAACGACTTGCGCGAAATGGTTCTCGACCTCGATATCGTGGCCGAGAACGCTGAGCCAGTACTCCGAGACCATGTGACGATCCTTGGACTCGGTCATGAACCAGATTGAAGACCCGGGCTTCTCGGCCTTTCCGTCATCTGAAACAGTATTTGATGCCTCTACCATGAGATTCTGTCCGAGCGAAGCGCACATCTCGCGATGGGCAGGAGTATAGGTGCCTTCGTGTCCAATATAGCACATGAGATTCTCAGCACGCATATCTGGAGGCAGAGAACTCATCAAGTCGCCTGCTCTGGCTATGCCTTTTCCCAGTCGACGGCCTGGCTGAGTGGCATTCGGATCTGGCTTTGCACCAGGACCACCGACGTCGCCTGTGCTGTCATTCAAATAGGCCAGCATTGGCGGGATGTGGTCCTTCAATTTGTCCCACCACACTGGCGGACAATCAATGTCCTTCAGATACACCCTCTGCCTACCCTTCTCCTTATAGGCGCCAGGCTTGTCGAAGAATTGGTTGGTAAGAAGACCCATGTTCTTCAGATAGTGGGCCATGGTGAGAGGCAGATTCTCCTTGGCAGTGAGGTTGCGCGCATTTTCGACCTTATCACCGCAGTTGTCGCGCAGCCATTTTGGAGTGAAAGTCCAAGGGTCAAGACGGTCTTCGAAGCCGTCTATGACCAGAGGCTTGCCGCCGACAACGACATGTAGCAGCACGAGCTTTTCGAAGTTTTCCATGCCCTGCTGGTCGATCATTTCGCAGGATATGCGGTCGACATAGCTAAAGTTGGGTGTGCTCTCCACCAGCGCTTTGAGGTTGAAATCTGGCGGGATGGGCTCAAATGAAGCCCTGGGCCGCTGGGCCGGCATGTTGGGCGGAGTCGTGTGTACACAGGTAATGTAATCGTGATGGGCGTGAGACGCTGGCTCGCCGACACAGCGCGTTCGGCGGCGATAAGCTACAGCCAGCTACAGCTTCACGCGCATTCTCTGTCGCGAGAGCGCGGTCGCGATGGCTTGGCAAAGCAGCTGGAAAGAGTCGCGCAGCTCAATTCCAGCCTTCGGCGGTGATGTTGGAGATGTCGGCGGCGGTGTCGGTGGTTGGCTTCGCGCTTGGCGGTGAGGTGAAGGTGAAGGTGATGGACGTACGTGACTGGTGTGGTGGTGGCGGGCAAGAGGCTAGAAGTAAGAGCGGAGGCGGAGGTCGGGATCCTTGCCAAGGCGCCTGCAAAGTTTGTACTGGACACAGAGCCGGAAGCTTCGACTGAGCTCCCATTATTCAAGCAACACTCACTCTCTATCGCATTGACAGCTGTATGATCGCCGGTGAGTATGTCTAGACGCGTATATCGTCTGCATCTAAGGTAGGCGCAGGCGCAGGTCGCGTCGCCCCCCTTAGCACTATGGCCTCTCTGCGAATCACCTCCCCGCTGCTGCGACCGAGCTCGTTCGCGAAAACGTCGCGTCAAATACTGGCCAGAAGATGCACGGCCACGGCCACGGCCACGGCCACGATACAACGCGCAGCGAGTAGTGGACGCGCAGTGAGCAAGAGCAATGGGTTGGCCTCGGAAAGCAGGAAAGAGCAAGCCGTCCTGGAGCCATACAGACCACCAAGCACTGGCATTCTGGCTATGCTACCTCGCGTGTGCGTGCCTTATGCCGAGCTGGTCCGTCTGGACAAGCCTGCCGGCACTTACTACCTCTTCCTGCCATGCCTCTTCAGCACGTTGCTGGCTGCGCCTGTGGCCTCGCCCGTGCTGCCACCCGCGACGGTCCTGTATACCGCCGGCCTCTTCTTCGCCGGCGCGGTGATCATGCGCGGAGCAGGCTGCACTGTGAACGATCTTTGGGACCGGAATCTCGATCCTCATGTAGCAAGGACGCGGCTCAGGCCCATCGCGCGAGGCGCCATCACCGTTCAACAAGCCATACCATATCTCGCGGTCCAGCTTCTCAGCGGCCTGCTTCTCCTGCTGCAATTCCCATCCCAGTGTCTGTTCTATGCTGTCCCTTCGTTGCTCTTGGTGGCATCCTACCCTCTAGCCAAGCGAGTGACCAATTATCCGCAAGCTGTGCTTGGACTGACCTTCTCGTGGGGCGCCATCATGGGCTTTCCGGCTCTTGGCATCGATCTGTTGTCCAATGCTCCAGCTGCCGTCTCCGCAGCCTGCTTGTACGGGAGCTGCGTTGCATGGACAATCGTCTACGACATGATCTACGCCTACCAAGATATCAAAGATGACGCAAAGGCTGGCATCAAGAGCATCGCTCTAGCCCAGCAGGCGAACGCGAAAGCTTTTCTCGGCGCTGTCGGCGGCGTGCAAGTCGCGCTTCTGACTGGAGCGGGCCTGGCAATAGGTGCAGGCCCTGCTTACTTCCTCGGTACCTGTGGTGGTGCGGCTGCCACTTTGGCATACATGATCTGGAAAGTCAATCTTGAGAGTGTGAACGACTGCTGGGCTTGGTTCAAGAAAGGCGCCTGGTTTACTGGTGGTGCCATCTCGTTCGGACTCTCCGTGGAATATCTCCTACACTATCTTGCCATATCTGAGACATACGAGATCGACGAGACGAAGGCAATCGAGTATCCCCAGCCTCATCTCGAGACAGTGAGCCTCATTTGTCGGGAGTGACACCTGGCCACCAATACTGTCGAAAGTGCCTCAATAATTTGTCGCCGCTCTTGCACGAATCTGGCAGCGCTGCTCACGAGAGTTGCCATGATACTTCGCCGGGAATCACCATCTTACCTGCGATTCGACGAGGTAATCTCTGAAATTGGCCAGTGTGCTTGCACTGGTTGCTGCTTCCGGCTTGGCCTCCAGGAAGCTGCACCTTGACACCCTGCTACTCATCTCTCGGCATTCCTCGCTTGAAGTTTATCTGAAGATCAGCCTCGGATGGTGAGAGCAGATTGGCAATCTTGATCCAAACAAGGCTTCATTGCGCACATGTCGACAATGCGGCCCGAATTCACGCCGCAACTCGGCTGTTTCATATCACTTCTCTACTTGAGGTATTTGTCACAGCAACCTGGGCGTAGAGCCGCAGATTCGACCCAGCAACAATTTCTATGCTTCGACCTTCTCGAGGCGGCCGTAGACTTTTCAGCCAGGCTTGACCAAGCTTTGCTAATAAGATGATGTGCAACTTCAGCCGAGCTTCTAGACCCGATCGCCCAATGGACATGATGTTCATATGCTTCATCAGGTAGCCTTCCGCATGTCTCGCAGCGGGACTGGCGGCTGTCGAAAACATGAAACACGACTGCTGGCTCTGTTCGCGTGAGGCAACCGAGATCGTAGGCGAACACTCACAGAATCATTGCATCATGAACGAAGGAGCCATCCACCGCGCATATATGCTCTGCAGGCGTCCGTTCAACAGCATGAAACATGGCAATATCGCAAGGATACAGGTCTGCGAAGTCTCTCAGCCGCAAACAAGTCTACAGCGCCAAAGTCATGGTATGTGGTATACATATAGGCGTGAAGGCGCTACAAGAGGTCATACATCTCAGCAAAAGCCATCTCACCGCAATCTACAATCCGGCATGGACACCGCTATGAAAGAGCTTCACCCGTCCATAGGTGCTTTCTCTGGAGCATTTGTATCAACAAGCGTCACTGACCAAGCTACGCTCATCGGCACGTCCGCCAGTCACCAATTTGCTGCAACCATTTTTGGGCTGATAGATGATGCTCCAGAGCAATGGGCAAGGCGGGTGGCCTTGTCACAAGAAGCACCTCAGCAAGACTTACTCATCGCATCACCATACCTCAAAGCTCGATCGAGCACTGCAAGCAGCGCACATGACAGCGGCTATGAGCCTCCACTAGAGGACATCCCTTTCGAGCTGCACCTTGAGGTTTCTCCTGACGTTGACCCGGCACTATATTTCCTTCCGCCTCAGAATATCCACAAGGGGGATCTGGATTTGACTTCTGGTAATGATCCCAGAGCATCCCTTCTGTCGATGAGCATCAACGAGCGAGGCTATAGCGGCGTTGGACACAGGCCCCAGACAGCTCCCGGAAGAATCTCAGACATCTTAGCCTCATCGACGCTCAGCACTAGGGCTAACCTTCGGGGTCGTATCAAACATGGCAGTACCCGTATCAGTGCGTGCATCACCGACTTCTGCCGGCCGTTAACGGGCTACCAAAACGCCCCGAGCTCAACCTCGAGCCTGTTCCTACGAGATATGCTTGACACCTTTCCGGCACCTCCACTACCCAGAAATCTCGAGCGAGGTACATCTCTTCCGGCTACTGAGAAGATCGAGGAAGGAGAGCGGTGCGACCAGCCTCAGCCTGGGGAAACGAGATTCCCGACAAGGAAATCGACAAGATCATGCATCAAAGGCATCTTCAAGAACATCAAGCAACGACTTTCAATGAGAGAGGCCTTGGAGCCGGCCAGACAGTGTACGCATCGAGGCTCAGTGATGGAACGAGGGTCTGTCATTGTCACGCCATATGATGTGGTTGAGTGGAGGCAGAATGGGAGGAGTGTTCGGTACTTGGTGTCTCCGAGGTTGATGCGGGATGGAATGTTGTTGGCTTCGCAGACTTCGTTGACGCATGGGTAGAAGCCCATACTCAAGATTGAATGAACCAAGTGGATGGTGAAAGTTCACGTCGTTTATCTATCGCCGCCTATCTTGACTGTATCTCGAGACAAGCATGCATAGGTTCCAGATTATGACCTCGCCGTGCTCATGAAGGCTTCAAACATCTGCGCCCCTTTTCTATCTCCACTCTTGACGACTATGGCGGAATTGAACGACTGGCTGCTAACGTGTACGTGAAGGCTGGGCTATGGATGATCGTTTGTTCAGCACTAGGCAAGTTGTAGGCTCGATGTGTTCAGGGCAGCTCGCTGATTGTACGGTCAATCGAGACACACGACGTTTCATTCGCGTGATCCTAGTAGTACTCACATCCATGATTCCAATGCATGCCAACCCGTGCTCTTGCACTCAAGTTTCGCGTCAGACATTGATACAGCCAAGTCCGTCTTCATATGAAGACAAGCTCAACTCAGGAGGAGGGCAGGATGATGGCCGTCGTCGGTCTGGTGGAGGGATTACTTCTGCGTTCCTGGGTTTCGTCGGCTTGTTGGCAAGATTAGGCAGCTGGTTGAACGCTCTAAGGATGGATTGAGATGTGAGCAGGGTGAGCCCGACTCCCTGACTTCACAGTCGACTTCGTTGAGGTCCGAGGAAGGTGAGGACATCATAGCGGCGAATCCTTGGTGGAGACTCGGACGGACGTCTTGAGATCAAGGAAGGACATGCCCGAACATCTGTCTTCTTGGCCTGGGCGAAAGAGGCAAGGGCTGACTGTAACTCTCGGGGCGAACAAGATGTGCCGTGTGATCGAACGTGTCGATCACTGTTATTAGTCTCGCGGACGAGACTCGCAGGGCTGCTTGCGTGAGATGATGATGCTTTTAGGGGAGGCCTAATATGCGTAGTGTCTTGTTTCGAACAGCTTGGGGATGTTGTTCGCCCTTCCGCTGGGAGCCCGATCCCAAATGGATGCAGAGGAATCAGGAGACGGCGAATTCCAGTTAGTCCGTGCAGACGAAAGACGTATTGAGCGCGAGAAGTGGACACCGGATCATAATGGCTCCATCGTATATGCTGGTTGAACATGCATTGGTGCAGAACATGTAGAGTATATTGTTACCTATCTTGCCCAGCCCAGGCTCGGGTATAAGGGCACATTATTAGCAACTGCATAATAAGGTTGAGAGAGGCGCAATGGACTAAATCCTGTCATCATGGAATTTCTTGCTTCCGCGTGCCGCCCTCGCAGTTGAACATGCAGACTAAGGCAAGCAGTGATGCTCACGGACTTTTGCTTCCAAAGCAAGACGTGTAGTCGGCAAAAGCAGAGGCGAAAGGTTTCGGGTAGAAGAAAGGTTCGAGGGAAGCATGGCAAGTTAAAAATTAGAGTTGATCGATCTCCCGCAGCGGAGGAAGGAAGTGGTTGAACATCTTGGCAGTTGCGGTCGTGGCTGGGCTGCAATGACGATGCCTATCGGGCGTGGCAGATCGTCAGACAGCCCACACTGCGACGCCCGGGCGTCTTGCAGACGCGTAACAACACGTTGGAAAGGAGGAGCGAAGAACAAGATGGGAAGGAAGACAGCAGTAGTATTGACACGCGTGCCAAGATGAATGATGGGGGGGAATGAGATACTGCGACTGCGACTGGCTCCTCGCTCTGCAAGATGCTCTCTACGCGATGCTAGAAGGCCTTCAACGCTGACGCGACCAGTGGCTGTCAATACCGCCACACCACCATACATGAGCCTGGGCTCAAGCTAACAGGCATCCTCGTCGTGGCCGCCGACGAAGTCCTGCACTCCACAGGCCACTCAGACCTCGATGCAGAAAATGGACGAGAGCAATGCGGCATGGGATCCATGGCATGCCTTTTGCATCTCTGGGAGAATATCCACCTCTACTGGTCATACAGTAACGACGCTAAAGGCTGGCTGTTGGCCTGCAACAATCATCTCCGTTCAAGGCGTGCTCAAGATTTGCGTGTTCTGGACGCGTCTGGATATCCTTCTGTCGCAATCCAGATGAATAGTGAGGTTGGAGTCGAGCGCGGCTTCCAGGTCGGCGGCTGAACATCTGAACATCGCTTGCTCTTCGGTGCTTCGACATTTCGATGAGACAGGAGGAGGAGATGCCCGCGTCCATCTCTTCTCTGAATAGCATCGACACGAACGCTTGGACAATAGAACGACGACCTTGCAGATGAGCGGTCTGTGCTGTCAAGCCTCGCATGAATGACTTCGAACGGAGCCAACTGCGTGAAGAGACAGAGATCGGGCACGTTCCTTGATGCTGTGCAACGCCAACTTACCGCTCTTCCTCCAATCTCTCAGGCTTCAGCAGCGGAGTGGACAGCGAATCGATGCTGTACAACGCCGGACCTGTCAATGCGGTGAAAAGACATGACCCGAATGCACTCCTCCACAATCTCGCTTCGCTTATCGACCTCTGCATAGTCAACGTGGTTCATCTGCTGTGTAACTTGCTAGTACTATAAGAGGCAATGAGTGCCGACCTTGCTCCGTCAAAGGCCTGTCTTGCTCGTTTGAGTGAAGAAGCTTTGCCAGGGGGCTGGTATGCAAGGCTGGTGTCGAAAATTGCCGGAGCACTTTCTCAGACCTGTTCGGTGGGCACTGAGATGGACTGAGCACGCTTGAAGGCCGACTTACGCTTGTGATGATGCTTGACCCATCATCCTAAAGATTGCAGCTCCCAAAACAAGGCTTAGGCCGGCCAAATGCACGTTGCAGATCCTCGCCGTCTGTCCCGCTAACGTATGATGGTGTGCTGGGAGTCTGGCAGAATCAGAGAAAGCCAATTAGATGTGGACCAGGACAGAGCGCCCAAAGGCAAGCTGGGCAGGCGGAAAGCTGCCACGGGCCCTACTGCATCTACTAGGCATGACAGACGGTACAGCGCCACTCTGGGGAGCTCTCGGAACGGCCGCTACAGAGACAGAGTGCAGAAAGCTGGTCGCTCACAAGGCAGGGAATGTCGGAAATGCTCTGATTATTGTGCCCTGAGCTGGGGGAGGCTGACAAGCTGGTGGAATTTGTTTGAGGTATGTGAGCATGGCTGGCTGCGATCGACGCAGCGTCTACATATGGGTACGGTTTCGGTTGCTGGGCAAGTCATGCGGCTGGAGCGACCAAGAAATGGCCGTCTTAGACTTCAGGTGGAGAGTGAGAGCAGCTCGTGCAGTGACGAGAGGCCAGCAGAAATCAGGGAGTGAGGCAAAGGGTGTGAGACGTCTAGTGGCTTGAGATGAGGGAGGCTTCAGCGACGCGGCTGTGTGACGTGAACCGGATTCCAGGCCATGAGCAGCACTTTCCCAGATGCCTCAACTGCATTCACCCGCAGGCACATCACAGCTTTCAAAGACATGCGACCAACACGCCGAACCATGCGAGAGCATGGCAAACGGCAGGGCCATTGACAAATGCTGTACCACGAACAGCAGCGACAACAGCAGTGTTGCTGTCCTTTCTTGTGCAGACCACGACCGACGGGACATCTGATTCGATTACGCCGGGCTGGGACGATGCTCCAGCTCCAGCTCCAGCTCCCTGCACGCGACATCAAGATTGAAAGTGGGTTCGCGTGGAGACGGCGATGTGCCCGTGAAGACGGTGATCTGCGGGTGGCGTCGTTATGCTCCTGGGAACGGCGGGCTTCTACTGCACAACACTGTGGTCCCATCACCAGTGCTGACGCGAGAGCCTAGAGGGCGCGCCTTGGGCAGGCTACCTAGCTTGGAGAGCTCGGACAGCTGCGCTGGATTGTTGCGCTGTCGAGTGGGCAGCGAAGGACTTGCAGTATGGACCAATGCACGCGTGCTGCTGCTGCTGCTCGATTGGCTCAAGGCTGCGGGCTGCGGGCTGCGGGCTGCGGGCTGCGGGCTGCGGGCTGCGGGCTGCGGGATGGCGTATGCACGCATACCCGGCGTCGATAAGGTTTGCTGGCGTGGTGGGCGGAGAAAGAGCCGCCGTACGCATGCACGCCATACACACCACTCGGCACAGTCTTGGTCTGGCACGAGCACCGCACCGCACCGCTCCGCACCGCACCGCACCGCACCGCACCGCACTGCACTCTCCCGCCGCTTCGCTCCGCTGACACCAGCTGCTTCCTCTGTGAGCTGCCTGCACGATACAGCTCCGTCGACACCGCTCCGCCATACAGCTCCGCCCATACAGCTCCGCCCATACAGCGGCCCAGCGGCCATACCACCGACCTGGGCGAGCAGGGCATCGCTGCTGACTTGAACCACGCCACCAGCGGACTTCCTCATCTCCCTGGCGTCGGCAGCATCCTGCTCCGTACACTGCGCCTGCCTTGACCACCAACCAGGCGCGCGGAAGCAGAGAACAAATGCAGGCACGGCCGGGAATTGGGCGGTGGTACTGAATGAGAGCACAGCTCCCCGACTGCAAGCGGACAAGCGTCCCTTCCATGCATGGAGACGTATCCTCTTTCCTCTTTGACTGCGCCGTGCATCAGCGTCCTTCGAGCCTTGGTCCACATCTTGCATTGCATTGTCTGCGTCTTGGCTGCTGCACTCCCCATCCATGCACATCAATAACTGGGAATCTGGGTCGATGGACCTCACTTGCCTTCGTTCATCCACCGACCCGGCCGACGTCTCTTACATCTGGCAAGCCAACGCAGCCCACCTACCTGTTTCCGGTGCAGGGGACTCCCTCCGCCACATTCAGACCCCTTCACTGTCTGTCTGTCTGCCCGTTCCTGCACCTGACCCTTCCCCAGAGCCGGGTGAGCACCGTCGCCCACATCGACCTGCACGCGGATAGCATGCTACGACACTCCATATAGATACTTCGACCGTTCCATCTCCCACTGAACTCGAGGCTCGCATCTGTTCACCTCAATCTCCAGATCCACCACTTTTTCCGCTTGATTTTCGGTTCATTGCATTTTCGGAATTCCTCTTGTCTTTCCAACCCTCTGGTTCGAAACTGCTTCAGCCCTTGGACGGATCTCGATCGATCATCATCATCATCATCATCATCATATCGACCCTTCGACCATGTCTTTGTCCGATCAAATGGCAGGCGTCAAGCGCACCTATCACCGTATGATGGAACACGCAACCGAATGTGGCATTGGCATGGACGGTGTAGCATATCAGGACTTCACCCATGCTGGCTTCTACACTCCGCCACCACCTCCGCCGACAGCCGTGCTGTTCAGCAACCCCAATCCCTTTTCGTCGCCAAATGGCGAGTATGAAGGTTACATTCCGACCTCTGAGTCGATGTATCAATTCGCCGTCAGCCGCTCGCACTCAGAACCATTCATCAACAACCACGGCAACACCAACAACAACAATAACACCAGTGATTCGTTCATCAGCCATAGTAGCGCCTCGTCTTCATGTGGTGCTTCGTTAGCAGGTCCAGCGACACCACCACCAGCATACAATGGTCCCATGACGATGAAGTATCCTGCAGTGCCCATCACGCCAAGCCATGTTGTGCCACGGCAGAAGGCGAAGCGAACCGCTACCGTGAGTGCCTGCCTCCCTCTCAACTGATCGAGTCCAGAGCATTGACAGCCATCAGGCTTGTGAAGAATGCCGCAAGAGAAAACAGAAGTGCGATGGAGAGACACCATGTCAGTCGTGCAAAGAACAGAAGCTCGACTGCAAATATCGCGAAGTGTCTCCGACCAAGTAAGTCATCAGCCTGAGCCTTCACACTCCCATCGAAAACCTGCTTATGCTTTGCTTGCAGAAAAGACAACTCGCTGGAGAAACTGATCTCCCTCGTCGAGAATTGCCAAAAGTCGATGGAGGCATTGAACTCGCGTCTGGACACCATGGGCTCGACGCTTCGTCAGATCGAGAAAAGATTGTCTCGATGCTACCAGTGCGGCTCTGGAGTAGAGCTTGAGACCGGTGACTGCCACCAGTGTAACAACACCAACAACATCCCCTGCAGATTATGAATGGTGAGAATCACATGTGCGTAAAGGCTTTTCTGACCACTCATTGACGCTGTCTCGCTCATAGATCTGCCACCAGACCGGCGACGATATTACTTCACTGAGACGAAACTCGGAAAAATACGCCCTTTGAGGCGTTTGTAGAAGATGAGACGAGTTGATGTCGCATTGGCAGAGACGAGAGATGCATAGATACCATGGGCGGCGCCAGGTTTGCACTGGACTTTCTTTCATTGGGAAAGAGTCGTGTTTCCATATTTTGAGTTTCCTTCCAAGTTTTGTTCAACCACTACAGCCTTGAAGTAATCTGGACGAAGTGGTAGCTTTGCTGTAGATGTCAACTGCCAAAAATCTGTGCGAAGTGTACTACTAGATCTTATCAACAAGAAAGCACAGTATCCAAGCATCACAAACAATAATTTCACACTATCAAGAGCAACCCCAGACACTTGTCGCTTCGGACACACGGGGCGGCATAGCCGGATTTTCGGAATCACACCCCTTTCCAGCAAATACAGCCGTCACCCACTGACCAACAAGTACTGTAGAACGGAGGACCCAACCCAACCAACGGATCAAATCCCCCATCCGAGGAAAGAGAAGGAGATGAGCTCCGCTTAGGGAAAGGTGAGGTGAGGTGTGTCGTGTCCCTCGGATGGGACTATTTCTTTTGGGATTGATGTACGTCACACGCGCGCGCGCCTTGCCCCCCGTCGTCGTATGTACTATGCATATCGATTCGATCTATCGATCTCAGCTAACCAACAAGCGAAAATGCGGCGTGGCGTTTCTCGGAACCGGAGATTTTTTTTTTGTTGTTGTTGTTGTTCTTTCTTTATTACTTTGCTCTTCTGTGAATGAATGAAGGAGCTGATCTTGGATGTTGGTTTTGTTATTCGGGGTGGATATTCAATACAATGGTACATATAGTACTTGGGTGGAAAATGGCTTCGCTTATTAGGATACATGTATGTAGCCGGGTGAGTCTTAATAGGTACATATAATAATAGGTGATGTTAAAGAAAGAAAGAAAGCTCGAGGTTAAATTTTCGATTTCAAAAAATCAGGGTTTCTTCCTATTGATTGATAGTAATAACTGGAAGTGGTGTGTGGTTTGACTTGTGTTTTTTTTTTTGTTGTTTTTTTCCTTTTTCTTTCAACGCGTTAAGATTTTCCATCCCACCGCGTCGTACATAATGTCTACCAGTCTTTTCTCTTCCTTCCTTCCTTCTTCCACTTCGAAATCTTGATGATGACGACGCGGAAAATCAATCGCGCGGCATCAAAACAAACAAACAGTTGAATGCTGGTTCGTCTCCTGGACCAGCTCTGGAAAGCGAAGGAAATGTTTGCAATAATGGTAGTAGAATCGCGTGCTGAAACAGAGCTGTGAATCTTATTGATGTTCTTCAAGTCTTGTTAGAAGGTTGACAATAATAGGTACCATCGCTGCAGGCTCAAGCTCGTTGTCGTTTCTTGAAGCCCGGCCAGCAAAGGGGAAAACGGCAGCAGCGCCCAGAGACTTTCCATTCACTTCCAGCCGCTCTCACAGCGGGCCCGATGAGCCAGAATCTCTGATGATGGCGAAGTCAAGCTGCGCTCTGGGCTGGTGTCTGCGCATTGACGGCGAGGCGATGCGCACAAGAGACGCAGCTAACTTTCCTGCCGTGATCACCACCAGCTTCCTGGGTGGTCAATGAGAAGGCTGGCTGGCTGGCTAAGTGATGAGACTGCCTGCCTCATGCTCAGAGAGTTCTGCGACTAACCTTGGCTCAAATTCTTGTCGAAGTGTAGCTAGATGAAAGCAGGCGCTGAAGTTACTGAAGATACCCATTCAAAATACAGTGCGAGCAGACTTCAGCCTCGAGCACCGACCGACCAACCAACCTGGATTGAATTTCATCGTTCAGGACGTCAACCTCCCAATTGTCCTATGCATTATTGTCCGCGGAAGATCACCAAGGTTCGATGCTTCGGCCCGAAAAGGCCTCAGAGTGCAATATATAAGCCTTCTTTCCCGACCAATATGTTGTTTGGAGACAATTCATAGAGCCTGATGATAATATCCAGCAAGCTTTGAGCAAAGATGCAGCTACTCTGCTTTGTCTTAGCCACAAGGGCATCGGCTTCCATGACCAAGTGGGTTTGAACATGCTCGTCTCTCGCTGTTCTTATCAGAGATAGAGCCATCGTTGATCCTCAGCCCTTGACTCATGATCATTTGATAATTCTTTTTGCAAAGCTTCGAACCGTAGCCGCGGCTCTCTTGTTGCCTAACCAGCGCTGTTAGAATAGGCAGCTGGGCCACTCCGGTATATATAGTTTCAGAGTAGTGTCTGCTGACACATCGCAGAGACTTCGATGCCGACGGACTGCAGGGCGCTTCTTGCCCTTTGAGTGCAGAGTTCAGATTATCTCCTCGAAGCCACAGACAGTCCACATCAACATTGAGGCTCGAACTCTTGTGTTTGCGACATGTAAGGAAGAAAGTGTGTGGACCCAAAGCCAGTGCCTTCCGTTTCGAATCCTGTCGACAGACATTAGACGCCAATCCATTCGACTCGTCTATCGAGACATCTGTATTACGTCGCAGGCGGAAAGAAGGAACCCAGTAAGGCCAGTCCAACTCTTATGGCAATAAAGAAGTACAGAATTATGTATGGCCTGATTGATGGCCGGTTTCTGCCATATCATACATACCAGGCCGTCAACAAGGAAAGAAAATCTCTGACCAGAAAAAAGTTGCTGAAGAAAAGGTGCCGAGAGTCGCTGAAAAAATTGCTAGCAGGGCTAATGTAGCAGCAGAGTCTCAGAGGCATGCATGCATTCATGGTGCATAGAGAGAGAGAGAGAGAGAGAGAGAGAGAGAGAGAGAGCCGGTTGGATAGATTGATTACCTGTCGACTCTGTATCATGCATGCGTCAGAAGACCTTCGATTTGAAAAATTCTCGTCGAGCTTGTTGACCGATGAATCTGGCTGCGCAACGAGAGACTCCGAAGCAATTCATCCTTCTTCGCCGATAGATACGAGACGCACATTCCATCGAACCGTGCAAACTGATATGTCTGCGTTCCATCGCGCGCGAGACGGGCAGTGAGCGAGCAATAGCTGTCTGTCTCGGTTTGACGATATCATTCAGCCCTGAGGTTTCCTGGCACCTTCGTGTCTGATCTGATACTCGGTCGATTCGTTGTCGAAGTATGCAAAGGAGTAGTCGTTGATCGTCGGGCAACTGCGTTAAACTGAGGATCCGGTCGATTTTTTCTCGTCCTGGGAATGACGTTGGAGTTCAAACACTCAAGAGCCATGATAAATCTGCCAGCACTGATTGAATTCCAGATGCCTGCACGAGGTCTTCCGTTAGAAAGAATTTCCACAAACTCATCGTACTGCTTCGTGCCAACTTCGACTCTGAAGCTCGCACAAGCTAAAATTCTAGGGTATCTCATGAGTGATAAGTCTCGACTAGGAATTATGAAGGAAAAATCGCAGTGAAGGATCAGAACGCTCAGAGATGCACCCCCCGTACCATGCCATGCCATGCCATGCAATTTCCAATCAATGATTACTGCTTGCCCTCCTCACACCCCCAATCACAGCCAAAGCCTCAGCTGTACTCGCCCTTTCTTCATAAAGCCTCTTCAAATCATCAACGCTACCTTTCCTGAGATTCAAAGGTCGTGGAGCGACACCCAGCCTTTCATTCCCAGTACTGCTGCTGCTGCTACTCTTCTCAACCTCTTGACTTTCCATGCTCGCCATTCTCTTCAGTAAGCCGGCACTCGGTGCTCTCGGCTTTCTCACCACGCCAGAATCTGTATGCGTGCCGTCCAGACCAGTTATGATAGGGACGATAGTATTCGATTTTCGCACTGGGAGGACAGGCTTTGCAAGTGACTGGATGTTTGGACCTTGTGATCTGGCTGCTGAGGCCGGCCAAGAAGGTTTGCGGAAGACTGGATCCTCTGGAGTCTTGACAGCGAAATCTGCTGGAGCTGAGTTCGGCACACCAGGTCGCAATATCGCAGGTATGGTTGATGTGTCAATGACATTCTTCTGGGCCAAATTATTCGCAGCCTGCTGTGCCGCCATTCTTGCAAGTAGTGCAGTCGGATCTGATTGCTGTCGTGATGTGTCTCCTGAAGCTGATCTGGATGTAGCTGGGTCGCTTGTGTTCGCTTTCACTGAATTATTTCTACTGACGGGCTTCCGCTTCGGCAAGCCAGTGATGATAGCGTTCGGCGGGGGGCGTGACACATCAAATTTGTTCTCATCTTGAGAATCGAAACTATAAGCCTCTTCTCTGGGCGGGCCAAGGCCATCGGCTGGCGAAGGCACATAGCTAGGAGGCGAGTCAGTCCCATGTAATGACCTGCTTGGCGCGCCAAACAGAGTTGAGTACCTTGGAGGCTCTCCCACAATCGCTGTCTCTGATATTATCGTACCCTCGTGATCAGAATATGGTGAAGGTGTCTCGGGATATTGAGGTGCAGGCTTGCGCCTAGGCAGACTGGGCAGGTCAATGTTGGGGATCGCAGCATTCAGCGCATTTTTTAGCGACGTCGCTCTTGATCTTCGTCTCGGTGGGAGCGCTGGCTTCTCATTTGGAGACTCTCCCGGTGAGCTGTCGGACTCATTCATACGAATTCGATGTCCAATCTCTCCGTCCTTATCGTCACCCACTTCGATCAAGGTAGAGCGAGGCCTTAGATCCTCAAGCGGATCTTCATATTCGCTGAGAGCACTAGGTGCTCGTAGATCCGCAAAGAATGCGCTCTCTTCAATTTCCATGCCCGTCCTCAATTGCGCCCACATCTCAATAGCAGCTCTCAGTATTCGCTTGACTATGCTTGCGGCTTTTGCATCTTCTAGCTGGTTAGAGCCGCAAACCAGGCACATCGAAAAGCAGATTGCTAGATTTTCAGCGCTCATCTTGTTGTCGGGCTCGTGCGATGCGACAAGGGATAGCAGTGGCAATAGATGCCGAGAAAGTATCTCCCGCGAGACTGGCGTCAATGGCGACGCAGAAGAGCCAGGAAGGAGGAAGTCGACCAAATCTTCAGGCGAGACTTGTGAGTCAGGATGGCTGTAGCGTGCGCGGAGCTCGGCATAGCTGGACTCTGGGAAGATGGGTTCTCGAAGCTCTCTGTACCAGGTCTTGATCAGAGACGCCGCAAGATGCACTCCATAAGCGTCCTCCAGCCGAATCTCATGCACAAGCTGTTCGTCCATGCCAGGCATAACAAGAGTGCCGCCTCGCTCTTTCCAGACAATCCACATCTGACCTCGGTCGTAGGCTTCTTTTAGGACTCCAGATAGCGTAGAGTGCGGAGGGATTCTGAAGACGCCCTCGGATGCGATATTGTCTGGATACAGCAGGAAGGCAGTAGCCTCCCTCAACACTCTCGGCAGCCTTGTCGTTCCAGTGATGATGCTTTTCGGCAAGGCATGCTGGACGCCAAACGCCCTCTTGCCTGTCACAAATGGGGCATAGATCTCGGGGGAGGCTTTTCGGTCTTGAAGATATGCCGACGGCGGTATTAACAACTGCTCGATAGGAATGTGTAGTGCCAAAGCCGACAAGGAGTTGACATGAACGATCTTGCGCCTGAATTTGGGCGAGACTATGGTTCCAAACACATTGATCAACACCCTGACCCATGTCCTCGGGTGTACGATATACAGCATTTGCAACTTCTTCCTCAGCGCTCTGCTCAGCACATGGTAGGCCTGCAGATACCAGCCCGTTGCTGGCCCTTGCTTCTTCTCTGTCGTGGCATTGTCGGGCGTGCCTCCTGCAAAGAAGATGACTTCGTACTCAGTGCCGGATATGAGTTCATCTTCGCCCGGCAGGCGTGCTAGGACGTAGGACAACAGCGTGTCGTAGTCGACTTCGAAGGCATCGGGGAAAGCGGCGGCGTTGAGGATGTATATTGGTCTGGCATGCTTTGAAGGCAGAGGTGAGCGGTAGAGGATAGAGGCGGCAGTCGCAGCCAGGTCGGGTAGATAGTCCTCGTCGGTCTCCGCAGGCGGGACAGTCGATAGCGAGGAAGCTCCAGTTCTCGCACGCGCGCCGCGACTCCGCTGTGCCGCAGCAACGAGGGCGGAGCGCATGCTTGAGGCAGGCATGGTGGTGCAACGATATCATACAGCCAGCACCAAGGCGAACGGAAGGCGCTGCCGAATGGTGTGGATAGTGGATGTACTGCAGTGAATAGGGAACGGTGTCTCGCTACCGGCGTCGGGATGTTTGTATTCTTCTGGGGGTGGCACGGGTGGGACTATGAGCAGCACTACTACTGTTTGTCGTCATTTGTCGAGTGCGAGTGCGTGTGCGTGTGCGTGTGCCCCAGTCATCCCTGTCTCTACTTCATCTCATCCTCCCTCCGCTTTGACCGCTTTGACGTTGTGTCAGCGATACACGCGGCGGCGGCGGCGGCGGCGGCGACGGCGTCGATGGGCGGGCGGGCGTGTCTGCTGGGAGAGAGATGCAGCGTTCGGGAGCGTCGACGGGCCAAGATGACGAGACACGGGTGTCTAAGAATACAGCACGGCACGGAGCACCGTTAATATACGGTCACAAGCATAGTGCTGCCTGTGGATCTCCGCTACGACGGAAAGACTGGAAGTTGGCAGTAACTGCGCTGGCATGGACGTGGTGTTGCGCATCAACAGCTGCACCTTGCGCTTGGCCTTGGCCCGCATGAAAAAGGGTCGACGACGCATCCCTGCCGGCAGGGACAATGCTTGACTCCGGCAGGATTGGCGAGATCCGAATCTATTAGTAAGCTCCTTCAAGCCTGTTCTGACTCGGGTTGACAGCCGTCGGGCGATGGCATGGCGTGTGACAATGTTCGACCATACAGCCTCTTTCCATCGACATACGCCTCGACGTCAGGTGGCCACGAAAACTCCAAGACGAGGTGGAGGTGGTAATTCGCGTAATCCGCCAGCGTGGACGCTCATATTGTTGCAAGCTGTGGGCAGAACTGAAGCTATCTATCTACTTGGCAAAGTTTCGCGAGTCTCTGATTGCCTCCGACAACCCCCATAGCTTTGGTGTACCATGCAATGGGGGGGTCAATAACATGCGTGGTCCTGCAAGAGAGAAGTCGGCATTGCTGCATGCGACCCTCGCCAGCCCCAATGCTTCCTTCACTCACCTACCTACCTGCGCACTTTCCGCATGTCCTCGAACATTTCCATTTCTTCTCGCGTAGCTGGCATGCTTCCTCGCCCTCGTCTCTCGCCGTCATCAACGTGCGCTGTCATGCGCATCCGCGTTGGCGCCCGATTTTCCAGCCGACTTCCGCTGCGCGAATTCAGACTTTCAGCGGCACTGTCCGTCTCATCCGGCCGCACGAGCACAACCATCCACAACCCGATGCCACCGCTGACATGGCTGAGCGGAGTGCAATGTACCCATCGAGTCGTGCCGACCCCTTCGCCGTTAGCGTTGGGTACTGCGAGCCATTTCACCCGAGCCGTAACAGCCTTGCCGTCTTGAAATGCGTTCTGCAAGTCTGCTCGCATCCGTGTTGAGCCGCCGATGCGATTGAGAAACGGCGACTGCAATATGCCCGGCACACGCAACGTTGGGGAAGCGAACAGGATCCGAAGCGGTGGCGCTGGACGCAGGAGAAGATACTGATATCGCACCACGGTCAGCTGATGGCCCACGACGAATATGAAGTGCCGAGCCTACATGTTTATAGATGCCACTCAGAAAGCCTGCTGTGCCGTCTTTGAGCATCAATCCGGCAGCTGGATCGTTCATCGAACTGCCGCTCTCGATCTCGTCGTCTGACTCGTCGGAGCTCGTACTGATGAGCACTCGCCGCAGATTGTCATGACCCGTGACATGTGTTGACGGCGCGGCGTCATGCACGTGATTGTAACCCTTGGAAAGCGCACCGCCATGCTTGCGAACAATGTCGAGCTCAGCGGCGTTGAACATTTCACTCAGTGATTTGACGTTTTGTAGAGGGTCCGCTTTCTTTCGGACATCATCATGTGCCGAGTTGGCATGCTTCTGCGACTGTTGCTCTACCAGCTGGGCTAGACTTTCGACGCCGCTGCAATTTTTCAACAGCCCCGAGATGTCGACTTGAGCACCCAGGAAGTAGCGCACATTGCCGCGACTGTACCATGTCAGACAATGGCGTCGGCGCCGTCTTATGGGAATACAACAAAAGGCTTACCTATCAAGCAAGGGCGCAATCATCACAAGACACAAGAATGGGCTTCCATCCCGCCGATAGTTGACCAGGATCTCCGTATGGTCCTTGGCCTCCTGACATGAAATGGCAATTCTTCGTCTGGAGTCGATTGTCGTCCCAGGCCCTTGGAGGAATCGGCAATTGCGACCAAGAATGTATTGCGAGTTGTATCCTGACAGGCGAGTGAACTGCTCCGAAATCAATATGATGGGATTATCGGGCCGGCTTGGGTCAGTAATGCAGAAGATCTCGGCCAGCCCATTGGATGCCTCCTGCAGATGTGCAGCCAATGTCCCCGTGATGCGACTGCGAATAACAACGCTGACAATCTGAATGTATGCTTGAGCAATGAAATAGTGCAGATCATCCCTGAGCAATTCGTCAAAAGCTTCCTTGGCGGCAGCGTACAGCTTAGAGTGGGGTGTTGATCCAGGTGGATGAGCAGTACTGGTATGCGGCGCCGCTTTTTCCGATAAAGATTCAACGATTGCATTTGCGTATTCGATCGCTCGGATCGCTTTGGTTGCATTCCAGTAGTACTGCAAAATGGGCACTCTCCACGGTCGATACTTGCGCAAGAACGCAGAGAATTTGGTGAGAAGCTTGGGATCCTCGAATATCAAGCGGAGATGTTCGGCGCTGTACAATTGCTCGGCACGTCTTTCTAGCGAATAGACCTGGGTAGCCTGGTCCTCCGCACTCGGTCTGGGCTTGAGCACATCCCAGGAGTTAGGGTCATCCACATTATTCAGCTCAAAGTTGTGCAAGTCGCTCTTGTCAGGAATGGGGTTTTGTAAGGGCGGCAGAACTGGATCGGCCGGAGCGGCAGATTGGATAGAGTCTACCGAATCCGTCTGCGAGTCCGGCGCATCTTCGTGTGAATATGAGGCACCGTTTGTGAGAGAAAATTCATTCGCGATGGGACCATTCGGTGACATGGTTATTGAAGCTTTCGGCGGCAGTAATGGTGATACTGCCGACACAAGCGAGCGCTGAATGCTGCTATCACTGTGTTCCGTCAGCACATGAATTCCTTGGCGGAAAGTTGAGGGGAGATCGCGCTGTCGCACCTCGGTGGCCTCTCCATAGGACTCTCGATCCGTCTTTCCATTTGCTGCGATTGATGTGTCTCAGGTTGCAGCAAATCGTCGTCAAAGACAGAGAAGTCCAAGGATATATCATCCTGCTCGGCATCAGCACCGCCAATTTGATCCTGATGAGAATTGTGTTTCTCGATGACGTTCTGTTTGCCTCGTTTAGAAACATAAGTGTCTCACATGGCATTTTAGCCTCTCTCGGGTATTGCTAAGGGCGTATATGGCAGCTCACTGCTCCGTGGGAACATCGCGGGATCAACCAGTGACTCTTCAGAGACATTGTTGATCGCTCTTACAACTGGTGGCCAAGGGAGAGGCCGTGGACGATGTGCTTCTCTGCGACGCTGCTGCACGACGCTGGCATCGGAGGGGTTCGACAAAGCCTGATAGCGACGGCGCAATCAATGGCGGAACAAGGCGCCGAAGGGAATAGTTGACCTACCAGAGTGTATGGTGGATCCCGTTCCTGCTCTGCGGCAGGTGAAGCAACAGTCAGTCCGTCTTCTGATCTTGCGTGACGTGGTCGGCGCCGGCGAAATGGTGGAAATCTTTGAAAAAGATTGTGCGAATGCGAAGTCTTCGATGGCAGGTCCATGGCCCATTCATTAATGCGGATGGAGCGGGGACTGATGGCGATGATATTGCGATGATATAGTCCTGAACCATCGTGGTGTGGCAGCTCGTTTGAGTTCCTCCATCATCTTGGGTCAAACGAGGGAGCCTGGCTCATGCAGGTTCACTGCACTCTTGCGCCAACTTGCGGTGGGACGCGCAGTAGTAGTGATGACGGAGACCTCACCATCTTGACGCTCGAATAGGCCTTGGGCAGCCGGTGCTTCGTGCGCTCCATTTTGCCCGATAGGTAGACGGCAGTTCACGGCGGTGAGATTGAATCGTACAAAACCTTCCTGAAATGGTCGCTGCTGAACCGTTGTATGCATGGGTTGCCAGCCGAAGCAGCCAACTCATCAAAGGTGCAATTGGATGCCTAGATGAATGAACCCTGAACATGCAACAAGTTTCCCACGTGAGATCCCGACTACTCCGTTTTGTTGTTCCTGTTCCTGTACACCTGCATGTACCCTGGTGTCATCACCATTAGCGGCTACCAATAGCTGACCCTAGCGATGAGTAAATTGCCTATCCCCTAAACGAAGTCCGTGGGTTAAGTCCGTAGAACTGCTGTATAAGATCTGGGGGATCTGGTCGGTCGAATCCGCTTTGCATAAGTTGGCATAGACGTGTTTTGTATGAGAACTCCACTAGAATCCTAGTTTTGCCGACGAACGCTCCGAGGCGACGAGTTTTACAGGGGATCGAGGGGCTCGAAATGGTTGTGTCTTTCTCTTTGTTAGCATGGATCCTTGGGTATTGGCAGAACGATCGGAGAATACACAAATGGTGCGGCTATCGCGTTGCTATAGCGAATCGACACCTGCTCCGCCGTCTGCTTTAGGAAAACGCAGGCTATAGCAGGTGGACTTCTCAAAGTTGCACCGCCGTTGGCGACGTACTCCCGGCCATCGCTACCGTGTGATGCCCGAATGTGGCGATAAATCATAAAACTATCCTCAAGCATCGTCGACGCGCAGCCTTGCAAAGCGCTCGCAAAATCCGTAGAGCCAATGGACCAACGTGTTCCCTGCGGCCACTATAGATTCCGCAATAATAATGGACCATACTGCTTGGCAAGACGCTATACCTATGGCGGTAGCGACGATGAGGTTGGTCTGTTCTGCGAGTCTAACTATTGATCCGCCTAATAATCAGCGTTGTTCAAGGGAGGGAGGTAGGATACCAGAGACCCTCGAGATGCTTCCTGCCGAGGTGCGGCCGCCGGCAACTCTAATCTTTGCGATAAGATATATAGGAGAGAGCGCCGAAGTTGAAGAAGGTCGGCTTTAGGCTAATTTCGTGAATTCTAGGGTTTTAAATAAAAGTTAATTAAGCCGCTATAACGTCTACTAACTTTTATAAACTTTTAGCTAGTCGGAGGCCTTCGGTAAGCGGAGCCGCGGCGAATCTATAGAGTACTATATACCTAGACTTTAGCGCTTTTAACTTAGTAGATATAAGGTAAAGGCCGAAGAATATAGTAAAGTAATATAGTAACGAGATTAGAGGACCGAGAAGAGTTTCTATTTATAGTAGCCGTACTACTTCTCCTAAATACTAAATAGAAGACCGCTAAGAGTATAAAAATATAACAAAGAGTACTATTATTCCCGAAGGCTAGTAAATAAAAAAGCAAATAAAGAAGTAGACTAGCTACTATACCTAAATACCGAACACCTAGTAAGCGATATACGTCTTACTACTATATTTTAGGACTTACTATACGAATAAGTAAAAATTAGCAGGCGGCGACGCTACTATAAGTACTACTACCTTTACTACTATCTACACTACTACCGTAGCTACTACCGAAACTATCTAGCTTGCGATCTAGGCTCTTCTTAAGTAGGAGCCTAAGCTCCTCGTCGCGATAGAAGTAAGAGATCTAAAAGTAACGAAGTTAGTATTATATTCTATCTAGAATATAATAAGAATATTATACCTTACGGAGACGGTAGCGAGTACAACTACGACTAGGCTTCTTAATATAGGCCTTAATACCTACTAAATAACTCTAGTACTTAAGGCTATCGCGATAGTAGGCGTCGTACGGACGGGCGAAACGATAGCCTAAGGTCGTTTCTATAATATAGACGACGTAGCGTAGCTACTTATAGCGATTTATATAGGCCGCTATAATATATGTTAGTATAATCCTTAATCGCTCGCTCGATTAGTCTAACTTATAGTCGATAGTGTCCGGAGACTACTACTCTCCTATAACCTAAGTAGGCTTAGGCGTCGTGCCTAGAATAGGCGGCCTAGCTAGCTAAGAGCGAGGTACGCGAACACCTCCGGCCGGAATAGGCGGTATATTGCTAACCTACCCGCCTATCGTTAGTACTACGGCCGGCAGAGCGAAGAAAGGGATAGTAGCAGTAGTAGTAGTAGTAGAAGGAGGGAGGGCGTCGGTAGTAGTAGTAGAAGGAGGAGAAGGGAGGGCGTCGGTAGTAGTAGTAGTAGGAGGAGAAGGGAGGGCGGCGGCGGTAGTAGTAGTAGGAGGAGGAGAGAGGGCGGCGGCGGTAGTAGTAGTAGGAGAGGGGAGGGCGGCAGTATCGAAGGCTACGGTAGTAGGGCTAATAAAAGGCTTATTCTCGCTATAGTATAGTTAGTATATATATAAATACGATAATAGCCTAGGAATATATAACTTACTTATCGCTATCGTTGTTACTACTAGCGCTAGTAGGGTTATAGTCGTCGCTATAGTATAGTTAGTATCGATTAAAACAGCTAATAGAGCTAAGTAACAACTTACTTATCGCCGCTAGTACCGAAGTTTATATCGATATTACTATATCGTAGTTAGTATCGATTAAAATAGGCAACGGAGCAAAGCAATAACTTACTTGTCGCCGCTAGTACCGAAGTTTATATCGATATTACTATATCGTAGTTAGTATTAATTAAAATAGGTAATAGAGCAAAGCAATACTTACTCGCCGCCTTACGGCTACTACTATAGTTACTACTATAGTAGAGGTCTGCAATATATTAGCGCCTAGCGATTATAAGCAGATAAGACTAAAGATATATACGCCGGAGGAGCTAGCGGAGGAGGAGCTAGCAGAAGCTAATAGCTATTCTACGAATTAGTACTATATCTAAGGATTAATCGATAAGCTAAAAACGTACGTTACTATACCTATAGGAGTTATAAAGAAAGTCGGACTTCGAGATGTTAGTATATTCTTATCCTAAAACGCCTAAAACTAGCATACTTCTATAGCTGCTACTACTACTGCTACTGCTACTACTATAGCAAATGCAATCGAAGGGCGATATAGCGGCGGCGGTTGTAGCGGGATACGCGCTACGCGCGCGAAGTAGTAGACGCTAGAGCTCGCTCGCCCTATATACGTATTAATAGTATTCTAATCTCTAAATGCCTCCGAAGTTGCTAATTAATATATATATCTATACTAAAAAGAGGGTGCCCCGATAGGCGGCGAAAGAACGGGCTAGCTATCTTTATTACTTTCTATACTGTTAACGTAGTTCTTATATTTAAGGTAACGTTATAGAAGAGGGTAAGAGGGTATATACGATGTCTTATAGAAGAAGAAGGAAGGAAGGAAACGATAGAGGGAGAAGAAATATATATATAAGGCTAAGGGCGGGATAAGTTCTATTGTCTACCTAAGAAGCAACGTAAAACTAACTAATAATAGTATATAAACTTTACTACTAGGAAAATGTAGGGCAAGTGAGGTAATAGCTCTACGTTCGCCCTATAAGAGCAGAATCGAAGTAAGGGTTAATACTCTATCCGATATAATCTTTAGGCTCTTATTAGCTAAAAGTTAGTAAAGGTTTCTAAAAGATGCTAAAACTTTATATAGACCGCTATCGCTCGAGGGATTAATAATAGTAAGGCCCTACTTTTTTCCGCTATTTCCTATTAACGTCGCCTATAATATCTACCCGCTCTAATATTCGGGCCCTCGTAAGTTAGTAAAAGTTTACAAAAGATACTAAAACTTTATATAGACCGCTACTACTCGGGGGATTAACAATAGCAAGGCCCTACTTTTCCCGTTATTTACTATTAAAGTTGCCTAGAATATCAACTAATTACCTAAGAAAGGTACGGATACGCCTATAAGGTATACTCCCTAGACTACGAAGTATACGCTAACCCTATATAGGCAAGATAAAGCACGATCGCGAAGAGTTGCGTACTTACTACTAAAGGCCTTAGCGGCTTTTATTAGGTCTCCTTTAGCTTTAGCGAATATTCTCGGGTTAGCTAAATACGTATATAATCCTATCGACCGTAGTCTTAGAAGGCAGGCCTAGCTTATCGTTTACAAAGCGCCTATCGTCTATAGTGCGCCTATCGTTTACGGAGCGCTCCTTCGCTATAGAGCGCTCTTCGAGAGTAGGCCCGTCCTATTAACTATAGAGAGCTTATCGAGAGTAGGCCTATCCTATCGATCGTAGAGTACTTATCGAGAGTAGGCCTAGCTTAGGGTTTACGCGCGCTTCTTCGAGAGTAGGCCTATCCTATCGACCGTAGAATGCTTATCGAGAGTAGGCCCGGCTTGCCGTTTACGGAGCGCTTCTTCGATAGTAGTACTAGCCTTAAGCTTATACTCGTTAGTATCTTAGGTAGAGTTCTAAATTCGATACTCTAACTAGCGGCGTACTTCGTTAGGGTCCTAGACCTAGATAGAGTCTTAAATTCGACACTCTAACTAGTAGCGCGCTTCGTTAGGGTCCTAGATCTAGATAGAGTCTTAAATTCGATACTCTAATAAGTAGCGCGCTTCGTTAGGGTCCTAGACCTAGATAGAGTCTTAAATTCGACACTCTAACTAGTAGCGCGCTTCGTTAGGGTCCTAGACCTAGACAGAGTCTTGAATTCGATACTCTAACTAGTAGCGCGCTTCGTTAGGGTCTTAAGCGGGAGTCTTAGTAGGAGTAGCAGCCTCTACCTTCGCTTCTAATGCTTTAATTTTACTCGCTTCTACGCCGTTTGCTTATCTATATAGGCCCGAAGGTTCCCTATCGAGCGTAGTAATGCCTATTGCGTTAAGCTAGTGTTTATTTACTTAGTAAGGGTATTAGGACCCTTAGTCGCTACCGCCGGCTTAGTATCTCCTAGACCGGCGCAAGTATTATAGAAGAAAGGAGAAAGAAATATAGAAGATAGTTGCTTTTATAGTAGCTACTACACTTTACCCTATATTAACTACTTCTCGGCAATAAGCTAGATCTGCCTCTTCTACCTTAGTAGTAATAATAGTACCGAAGGGCTAGTTTGTTTACTTAGTATAGGCGGCACTAAAGGAATAGTATTAATTAAGTTAGAGGTAGCAAGAGTGCTATAACCCTTACTCCCTTAGTAGACTTAGTACCTATCGGGAGGCGTCTATAGCACTAATAAACCCTAGGCGTATATAAATAGTCTAAAACTTGCCGAAAGTTAATAAAAGTTGCCGAATAATATCTAGTCGCTAAAGGATAAACAGTCTCGAAGGTATAACCTTATAGTAAAGCGGGCGCCGGAGCTCTTACGAATCTCGCTAATCTTGCTACTACCGCGACTAATAGTATATCCTACTATATTAGCCGGTATGCTAAAACTTTAAGTTTAGATATCCCCGCTATCTTTAGACAACGACCGCTTTATAAGCGGCTTAAAGCTAATAAAACTTAGTAAAAGATATCGGCTATATTAGCCGATATGCTAATACTTTAACTTTAGATATTCTCGCTATCTCTAGATAACGACCGCATTGTAAGCGGCTTAAAGCTAATAAAACTTAGTAAAAGATGTCGCCGGTCGGCTATATTAGCCGATATACTAATACTTTGACTTTAGATATTCTCGCTATCTCTAGATAACGACCGTATTATAAGCGGCTAAAAGTTGCTAAAACTCGATAAACGATATCGGCTCGTTATAAATAACTAATATCCCTGAGGCCGATTATAGCGCTAAGGGCGGTAGGGAGTAACGAATTAAGTATTAAAGTAACAATAGTAGTCGGATAGTATTATAAGGCGTATAGTAAGGGTATAATACCGAAGTAAGATCGATACGGTAAAATTGAGCTCGATAAGAGAGTCGCTTATAAATTAGACTCCTCGCCGACCTTCTTCTATTCTCTTTCTTCTTTACCGATATATACTATCCTCGCCTTTAATACCTCGCCGTCGCAGTCGCTACTATATCTAACTAAGAACTCGACGAAATTGCAGACTTTATACTAGACTTTCTGTCTCCCG